TATTTTGCATATTCTAATCGTCAAAAACGTTCGCTGGCTGAGTGAATACAAAAACTGCACTCGAGTTTCTTTTTTATCGCATCTGTACAGTAACGAGATGCATCCGTGCACCCCTCAGATAAGCACGATGCCATTTTATCTTATTTCACCGGGCGTTGTCTGCGAAAACGCGTGCTTCTTGGGAGACTCGGATGCGCCCTAAATGAGCTTCTAACGAGCGCCGCGGTGGCCAATAACATCGGCCGCTAATCAGCCTTGAATATTCATTAGGCTTGCCACGCGACAGCATGCCGATCGTCTTCTCATCCGCAATCTCGGAAGCTTCTCCTGCTTCTTTTCCTCTTTAAGCTCGTGCCCTTCCTTCATCTGACTTGGGCGCGAAGAAAATGAATGACATAACGTTTTGCTACGCCGTAGCAATAGACTATACACAGTCTGATTAGCGCACACACACACGTCCCGCATACCAACCTATATACCCACGTTAAACGCTATTGGCTTATTTGCTGGTCATGTGACACAAACGCGGACTTGCAACTGAAAGTTTCATGGAAGAAACCAAGAATGTATAGAGCTGTTTTTTTTTTTTTTTTCGCGCTGTTATTTCAACTTTTAGCTATACGCTCTAACTATAGCATGTCATTTTTCATGTCAAAGTAGTAAATAAAGAAAGAAAGAGAGAGGGAGGGGGAGAGAGAAAGAAAAGTTGCCCTATACCACCTCCCCCCCCCCTTTTGTACCACCCTGCAATAAGTTCTGCGGAAGCCCTTGATTATGAATCCCTCGGGACGAGTATGTGCAAATGGAAATTTTACATCTCGGAAATTTCTCGAATGTTGTCCTTCAAGAGCCTAATCAACTCGTGAGTGTGAAGTGAATTGTGTTGTACCGAAGATGGCGAAATCGGTCCTTAAAGGTAACTGAATTACGTTATTAGCCAGTTTTCTATAATCTTTACAATTTACTTTACGTTACAAATTACAGCTGGCGAAAGTGGCGATATTACATTACTTTTGATTGCAGGCTCTGTTGGGATACTTTGCATGCAGTCGAAAAAAAAAAAAAAACGACCCATTTTGAGATTGAGTTCCCACAACATAAATAATAGCTCAGTACGTAAGGCGGCAAGCTCTGCTGCCGTTTATCCCATCCTGCGCGACACATTACTTTCGAACACTAAGAAAATTACTTTGAAAGAACTTTAACTAAATTTCATAACCAATGCAGTAACTTACGTACACTTCATTCTCAATGCTGAGCATCGGTGGCCGCGGCCTTCCAGCAACGTTATCCAAGGTTTCGGGTTTGGATGCTCCGAGGCTTTTCTGTATAGGCCTGCCTCGCTTCCACGCTTTGACAGTATCTTGCTAAAGGGTATCTTGATAAAGAGGTTGCTTGGGCCTGTGGGCACGGCATATACATAATGGGAGGAAATGGCGCGAAGGACGAAAGACCAGGCAAAGAAGGCACATACAACAGCAATGAGCAGGTATAAAATGCGTTGGTCTGACAGATTACCTTATGTTGTAAGTAATCGCTGTTGTATGTGCCCTTCTCTGCCTTTCGCGCCGTTTCCCCCCAAAAGGGTATGTACCTGTTATTCTTTTTTTTTCTGTATTGGCTAACTTTTTAATCCATAAGAGATAAAACGGGATTATAGTCAAAAGGATTTGAAAGAAAAGGTTATTTATCGCTGGAACTAGTTCTCAAAAAGGTACAAGCGCGCACAGAAGGTGACAAAGCGAAGAAACTATATACGCAGCGCTGATCTACGACTGATATTTTGTCTTGAAGGAATGAAACATATACACGCTGAATCAACCAGTGACAACGCTGGCTTAGCAGAATACCAACAGAAATAAAACTAATAATAAGACACCCATCATTTTGCATCCTGTTGCATATCTGCAGTCACTTGATCGATCTCTCTCTCTCTCTTGACAGCGTCACAAAGGGAGCGCTCGTACAATTTTCTTTGTCACGATCAATTTCATAAGCTTCTATCCCATCATCCGTCGGCTCGCCCTTCTCTCTGCTGTTAATCAGCGAACTTTTTGTTTCCCGCGCTGCTGTGAACGCCGTATCTTTTTTTTTTTTCTAAAAGATGCAATACCGACGAGTTTGAATGTGCCAAGACACTTTTTCAGTGCTTCCTTTAGATGTCATAAGACCCGTAGGGTCAAATAGGCAAATAAAAAACAAATCTGTATTTTTTTAGCGTTTACAAAAAAAAAAAATCGTCAGTGGGGAAAAGGTTAAGCCAACAAAGACGGAAGCTATGTCACGCGGAGTTTCTTCGAAAGTGCCAAGTGGCCAATAAAAATTAATGGCCTAGCCAGGAGGTAGTTCGATTCCCCCCCCCCCCCCCCCCCAAAGAAAGAAAATTTGTATGTGTATATATAGGCGCATACATGCAAACATACGCACGAACGTGCACAGTTCAGTTTGCCAGCCCCTGGTCATGATACGCCTTCAATGAAGCATCTGCTTTTCAACTGTTCAAGTATTGCGTTGTAAGGATTGCTACCTGTTAACCTCCGCTAGCTGTAACTCAGTTACTATGGCGCGCTGCTGCAACTGTAGAGCACGGGGTCACGGGTGCGATTCCCGGCAGCACCGGCGACATTTTAATTCAGGAGAAAACTTTAAAAAAAAGAAAATAAAGCTCGAGCACTTAGGCTCGTCGAGATTAATCCGAAGCCCTCCACTACCGTATACCCCCAAAATTTCATCTGATTTAAAGCCCGTGCGAATCCGTCAACAAGTCAGTCAAATCACGGAAAATGGAGCACCCCGCGAAAGAAGTGCGTTATAAAGAGCAGCAGAATGACAGTGAAGGACCTGACAAAGACGAGGTTGTATTCAAAAAGCATAGCACTTCCAAAAGTTCTTGTTTGGGTGCATTGCGAAGAACGCTGACGAGTGAATGGAACACGGCGTCATCTTTTACACGTCTACGTGCTGCGTTCCTTGCGCTGCACGAACAATTAACCATCAACTCGCCTAACTCTCAAGGATAATCTTCGAGGCAAAAACACTTCAGAGCAAAAACAACCACATTATGGAGGGGAAAAAACACTTTGTTTCTAATGATTGATATGTGGTGTTTAACGTGTCAAAACCTCCATATGATTATGAGAGACGCCGTAATGGAGGGCTCCGGCAATTTCGACCACCTGGGGTTATTTAACGTGCACCCGAATTTGAGCACACGGGCCTACAACACTTTTCACCTCCATCGAAAATGCAGCCGGGATTCGATCCCGCGACCTGGGGAATTCAGCGATACGTTTTTGCCTCTACGAAGCGCGTCAGGGAGGATTCGACCGCTTGTTCTATTGGATGATGTCCTTTGTTAAAACAGCTAAGGATGGTGCTTGAAATACGTGCGCGAACCCACACAGTAACAGCGATTCTCCTCGACTTTTTGTGTGCCATTGTAGGTATGCGCTCGTGTTTCAAGAATCATGAGCTTTCAACTCGCCCAATCAACCATTCTGACAAGCAAATAATACTTCGCTTAATTTGAAACTTAATTATCACGAACGCGGCTACCGAACCGTTCAAATGGCACCATTGTGAAAGTTTGCATGAATGTATTGCGTGATGTGACATATCTTGAACCAATAACTCCGGTTTATAGCTGATCAGTGCGAGCATATACGTGAATATATACGCGAATATATCCCTGCATTTCCTTACTAAACACACACACACACACACACACACAAAATCAAGAACACTGCAAGAAATCAAGCCATTTTGTCAATTTTTTTAAGGTTTACAGATGGGGTTTTTCAATTTTTCATTTTTCTTTTTCCGAAGGCTGCTTTGACAGGGCAAAAACAGATAACTTTGATAACCGCGCCTTTCGTAGAGGCAGTGATAATCGTCCACTTAAACAACAGAAAACGAAACGTACCTTCTTTCGGAAAAGTCATAAGTGAAGAGCAAAGCACCATACGGTAACCTGTTTTCAGTCAGCTCCGAATTTAACGCTAGCGGAAACGAAATTGAGCGCTCTAACAGGCGAATTTTTAACGCGCACCTCACAAACCCGGCAAGTAAGCGACGATTTCAGCTCTTTCAACGTGCCCGCCGCAATCGCTCGCTTTGGCGGAAAGGTCAAGTGCTGGACCCCGGAGCCGGTGTTTCCAGGAATCGCTCCTAGAAAGCAGAGCGAAAAGCTTCTGTTTTGATGGTTTACCCGAGCGATACATTTACGCCGAACAAACCAGTCATTTGAATTCACAGCGAATCGCGCGAATCATTGCTATCCGAGCAAACAGCGAGCGCGCCCGATGTACCGGCGATGGATCGTCTGCGTCCAAGCATCGATAGCAGACGAAAATGCGCTCGTCCAGGCACGCGAGCAGCGATACGAGCGAGTTTGCACACTCGCCCCGTATCTAACGAGGCGTCAAACAGCGAAAAGGAAGCCCTGTCAAACAAAATCGCCCCGGCGAGTCTCACCTGTTGCACCAGGGGGGCGATGGTCTTTTCGATGGACTTGATTTTGATGTCCAAATTCCAAGAGTCCGACCCACAACAGGCCGCAGCCATTTTGGCAAAAACAGACGCCAGGGCAGCGCTTGGGTAGACTGTCGTGGCGCTGTGATCGCACTGTTCGATGAAAGAAAAATGCTACAAAGCTACGACATTTTAATTATCCAGCTTTATTTTTCTCTTAATGTCATAGCAACAATGCCGTACTGCACAAATAGAGCACATTTTTTTCTTTAATATTTAGCACCCGTGATTTGGCATATATGACTTCAAAATTAACTTAATTTTTTTTTAATTCGATGCAATCAGTTGCTTGCAATTTTTTTCTCCAATTTTTTCACTCACTGAAACAAAAGTTTTTCACATTTGTTTTACGATACATTATTTTTACGTTTTACCTAAGTGCATTGTACGCAAATTCTTTATGATCATCACTTTGAGTCGACGAAAAACATAGATGTTGGCAGCATTGAGAGGCAGTAGCACGTGTTTGTGTTTACGTTTGGTGGCCGTCTAGCTAGTCTGGCTGTATCAGCCGTGTTATAGAAATCTAAACCAAACGCACGGCCGTCTTTTGTGACTCTTAAGTTACCTCGCGGTTTCATGTAATGAGGAAGCGATGACATTAACGTACGCTGGAAGTGAAGATCGCCTTGCAGGATCGCAGGTCTGTGAGGTCCCCGTCGCACACTTAATTTCGATGAACTGCATGCCACGGTCGCTCGTCAAGGTGTCTGTGCTCGGAAAAGCGTACTTATGCGTCGTCTACCCTCACCGGTTCACGAGTGACGTTGTCTACGTCGACGGTACAGTGGAACTTCAGATTAACGATGGCGGTACGACGGACAACACCGTTCTTGTCGAACCTCTCGACAAAAGTCAGCCTGCCGACAGCGCTGTTGTGACGGTCGTGCTTCGGTCTGTCCATGATTTGGTCAAGTGGCATGGAGTGCGTCAGGAACGACTTTCCTACTGGCTGTCCAGAATCTTGCGGAAGTACTACGTGAAAAGTGGGTCGACGTTTGTTTGCCCTTCTAGTCGACCTCTCTCTCGATTATGTGCGGTGCATGCAATCGTCGTCGACCAAGTCTCGCCGTCGTCGGCCGACGCCTGCAGAGTGACTGCTAACACCAAGTTAACTGTTGCAGGCGTCACATACAGCTCAGCTGCGGTCGATCGTACGGTGTTCTCAGACATCTGGGAGCAGACGCTGCGAGAGCCAACGGCACTGCTTGGCAAACTGTGCATGTTTCCGCACACGTATCCTAAGACGCTCGAAGCGGTCGGGTTGCGACTGCACCGCGGTATTCTCCTAACGGGACCTCCGGGAACCGGCAAGACCAGCGTCGTTCGCCATGTGGCGCAGAAGTGCGGTGCTCACTTGCTGACCGTCAAAGGACCGGAGCTATGTCGCTCAGCTCCTGGAGAAAGCGAGGCCCTGCTTCGGTCAATTTTTTCAGAAGCTGCGACGCTCAGCGAAGTACTGCCTTGCATCGTGCTAATGGAGGACGCAGACCTCCTATGCGTCAAAAGAGGTTCGGCTTCGTCGCAGCACGCCAACAGGCTAGTCACGCAGTTGCTCACGCTCATGGATGGCATGGAAGACAGGAGGCGCGTTTTCGTTGTCGCTACGACGACACGACCGAACAGCATCGACCCGGCCATGCGGCGGCCGGGACGCTTCGACAAGGAGGTGACTTGTTTTCCTGTTCAAAGTGCAGTTATGATACGCAAGTTGGTCCGACCTTATGTGGTATTCATGGTGAGGTCGAACACCTGATTTAAATCGCTCTGACTACATTTGGTTGCAGTGGTATCTGCCACCTTCAATGCTACACAGAGACATACGTTGCACGGAGACCATGAAATTGACCGTTGAATGACAGACAGGACTTGATATTGCCACCTGATACGTAAATGTAATTGGGCGACAGTAGTAAAGGAACACCTGGATTTTTCTTAATATACTGCTCTTTATGTGCAGAATATAATATTTTTCAATTAATGAAGCAGCTCTGGACAGGGTTTTTAAAAAATGCCTCTTCTCTTCACCCTGGCTTGTAGAGCAAGAAAACTTATACATGGTTTATGGTGATGGGTGGTCAGAGCCCTGTATTGGAAGGCACTGCTAACCATTACTGCACCTTGCATTTATCTTAGCAAGCCTCGGTGCCCTCCCATGTTTTATGCTGATTATCTGTTTCTGCATCTGCACCAGGTCTAGGATGTTCTTTAATTGCGCTACACATGGTGTTTAAGTAATTTGCATACAGACCCGCAGTATGTGGCATAGCATGGGGCTTCGGCCGCACCACACACATGCAGCTGCATGATATTGAACAACAAATTTGGTGTTTAGACATATAAATTGTGGCAGAACACCAGTTCGAATTTTTCTTTGGCCTGTATGACTGCTTTGGACTTATTATCTTTCAGTTGTTTATTGGTGCTTTGTCAACACAAGAGAGGACTGACATCATGAGGACTGTTGGAAGTCAATTAGGCATTGACTTGAGCCATCTTGTGCTACCAACAGCCGGCTTTGTCCTTGGAGACATAATGACTCTTCTTCGTGAATCTCTTATGGCTGCCATAAAGCGAACTGTGAGTTTACTTTGCAATTTTGCTTTTAAGCTACCCTACTAATGCGAGCTTTATTAATAAATAGATGGTCTGTCATGGTAGATCAGTGGTTGTGGTACTCAGGTGCTGACCTAAAAGTCATAGGTTCAATCCTGGCTTTGGCAGGCACATTTTGGTGCAGGTGAAACGGCAGAGGCCCGTGTTCTGTGCGCTGTCGGTGCACATTGTTGGTGCGATGTCTGTGCAAAACACCAGATGGTCAAAACTTTTGGAGCACTCTACTACAACATCCCTCATAATCATGCAGTTGTTGGGGGACATAAAATTCCATTTATTATTAAGTCAATGAATGAAACAGCACTTACGATGGTATGACATGAAGACACATGCACGGTTCTCACTAACAACCAAGGTTTATTGTAAAACAAGTGCATATTTTATCGGAACTAGGTATCTCTGCAGAACATGGAAACACACACAAAAATGCACATACATGTGATACAGGCCATGCTACAGCTCGAACACATCAGGAAGCTGTTACACTAGTACCACCAAGATATCTAATGTCACTGCAGTGAAGGGAAATAGAAGGCACACTTGCACTAGAAACACTGTGCTAATATATAAGGCTTCACTTATCTAGTGTGTGTGCTGCTCATTATAAAGCTCCATGACCATGCACTTATCAAGAATTGGGTGACATCCGCAATTTTTATGATTTTGAGCTGAATGGCTGGAAACAAAGCCTTTTAGAACCTAAGCATTCTACCTCAGCTGATCATGTATACATTAGCCTGTTTGGCCATTGTAAGATCGCCTCAGGGTCAAAGGTATCTTGGGCACAATCACTCACACATGATTGCACGATCACCTGCCCACATTCAACATAGTGCATTTCTTATTGCATGCTTGCTAAATTTTTAGGCCCTTCAATGTTGACGCTGTAGCACACCACACTAAGCTTGCCACATATGCAGAGCACAAGCTTAGCACCTATTTGGCCAGCCACCTTTAGCCTGTGTGACACCTCCTGCAAGGGTGGCCGTTGGTGGCTACTTTGCGCCAAGTGGGCTACTTTTTTACCCACTCAGTATATTCTATTTTCACTTAACTTGTGGTTTTAGGAAATTTTGCGGCCTCCTGATTTCATAAAACACTGAAGGAGTGCCATTTTGACATAACATTTTGATGAAAAATAAGCAACGGTAGAGACTTATTGTGCCCTCTAACAATAATTGTCATATATTCTCTGTGCACTTCTTTTCTGTAACACTGCATACCCAATACCTTCTGGTCTCGATTAGCATCTGCTAGTCAGCATTAAAAGCAATCATTACAGGAATGTAGCAAGTGCAGTATCAAAAAAAAGTTCTATGCGAGATACAACATGCAGTTATTGTTTTTGTGGCAATATTGTTGTTACCTTAAAACCTGCTTCATGCCCAGAGCCATGCTGCACTTCGAGCATATTTTAAGGTAGCCGAGTTAGAAACAATATCGTTATTTCTTACACTGATGAAATTGAGGCTTTGTACCTTAAGCGTGAAGTCAACTTATTCTTAAGCAGTTTAAAAATTTTGTGTTGGTCCTCTTTCAAGTTCAGAAAGACAGGTCATTGGCAGTCGCAATTTCCTAATTGAGTGGGTCATCTCATGTAAACGAGATTAATCAGTCAGTGAGAAAATTCGCTAGTGAGCGTCATCTGTCAAGAGGAGAAAAAGAAAAGACGCAACTTGTGCAGCCCTAGTTGGGAGCACAGCTCAGCGTCTGACCTAGCACTGTAGCACAACATTGTTTGCCCTTAGTGCCCTTTGAGTTCAATAAACAACCAGTATAGCATTCATAAACATGTTAAGAAACATCTTGTGTCAGTTATTTTTCTACCATGGACTGCTATCTAAAGAAGCATTAGTTTTGGCAGCTTTTGTTGTGGTTTAGTACTGCATATGTACCTATGTATGTAACTAAATTGTGGTGCCAACGTACTAGCTGAAATTAACAGAAAAATATGTGGACCTGGGCAGGCTGCATATTTTGGGACACATATAACCAATGGTTAGTTAAAGCAACAGAATAGAGACTAAGAAATAGGAAACATAGTCAAAGGTGGCAATGTGTCAGATAGGGGGATGAGATAAATTAACTTGCAAGCGTAGAGTGGAATCAGCTTGTGCAGGACAGGGCAAATTGTATATGGAGAGGCCTTTTTCTTGCATTTGACATAAAATATGCCGATGCTGGAGATGTGACTAATATTCACATCACCGTTTGTTCTAATTTGCATATTTTCCATCCCGTTATAGCCTTCAAGTGACAAAGAAGCACTTGTTACTGTCGAAGACTTCAAAACTGCTCTTACAACTGTTCAGTCAAACTTGAACAGCCGTCTTGAGTTTGCAGTTGAAGTAGTTCCACGATTTTCTTGGAAACAGCTTGGAGGCATTGAATGCTTAAGAAAGAAACTTCAAGCAGTGAGTATTGGAGTGGTTTTCTTTTAGGTTTTTTTATTTGTTGTGTTGGCCAATATTGGGAAAATAGAATCTTTCTGCGGGGTGACTCCAAATCATGTAGCTGATGGGCAATCAGTGCAAAGGAATAGTTTTATAAAGTTTGATGTACTTGCAAGACTTGTGAAGATTAAGTATATACATTATGTGGCTCAATTAAGACCAATCCATCTTTGCATGTTAATATGACAGAAACATTAATTGGAAGGTTAACCAAAGCATAGTTTCTAAAGATGCGCCGGGTCCCTCAGATTGTAAGTACATGGAAACAGACATTGATGTGACTGAAATAAGTTGTAATGGTGTGCACTGCATCAGGTGTAAACAGTGCTTGACCGCTTATTAGCAACCTTGTTTCTCAAGAACTCTGATGTGCTGTATCTCTCGCTGTCTATAAGTTCTGTGGAATGCCACATTACAGAAGCCTTGATAAGTTTAGCAGGAATGTATTTTTTTCTGCCCAAAACTTGGTTCGCCATCTTTTTAAGACTACAAATTCGGTGTGATCTATCCACCTTCTTACCAGACTTCGTGGTGGAGTGACATCTGCATGCCTCGAACTAACTTTTGAAAGTAGCAGAAGTTGCTGATTGGGTGCCTTGTGTGTTCTTATGTTGCAAGCTTGAGTACATAGGTGTTTGAGCTTAATGTTGTGGTGTGACCAAGGCTTTCTCGTATTGGTGCTAATTATGCACGAAATCCCTTTTACAGAAATTTCACACTAGCTTCATGAACCACGTTTTTGTTCATACTTATGGCTCAACTTCAGTATTTCTTTTGCCGAGTATTGATAACAGCACCTAAAGCAATACTACTGTTTAATAATCCCCTATTGAGTCTTTAGGGAAATAAAGAAATGAAATGAAAGTTTGTTTTAAACAGTGTCCGCCTTGGTCATGTACCATGAATTTGCCGCCATTTTTTCATCTTCTGTTCCATTTCCAAGAACAAGGAAGGTGCAAGAGGATTTGGCTTTACCTTTCACTACCTCTATAATAAAATCAGAGAAGAATTGCCTTTATTTCAAAAGATGTAACTTTAATTTGAGCATGCCTAAGTGCAGCGTTAAACATCACCTGTCCAAGCACTGTTATATCATGCCACCTGTGCAGGTGCTGTGGCACAAGAATAGGCACCACACCAACTGTGCCTATTCTTATTGAGGACATCCATCATCAGCTGTAACAGCTGTGCTGCTCACCTCACTCTTGGCACTCTGCCAACTTTTATCTCTGAGCTTCATACACTTGCATTGCGAATTTTCAAGGTAGGGTTGTGTATGCTCAAATGTGAAAGAGCGCTGAAGCATTGACACCATACATTTCTGTGTGCAGCAGACATAGCTTTGTACACTTTTTACTGCAATCAATTCAAGCTCGTACCTCATACCTGTGTTGTTACGTAGGCCATGGAGGGCCCTCTACTGAATCCATCGGCCTTTGGGCGGCTTGGAGTGTCCCAACCAAGAGGTGTGCTTTTAGTAGGACCTCATGGATGTGGCAAGACTGTCATCGCTCTTGCAGCTGCTAGTAGTTGTCCAGGTGTCACACTCTTTTCTTTGGGAGCAGCTGACGTCTACTCCCCTTTCGTTGGGGATTCAGAGAAGGTTGTGTCTGAGGTAAGCTTAAGTTCTGCTTGTCTGAAAACCGCGCTTGAAGAAAAATGGATGCATCCACGACTCATTGCTGTGGGCTGAACATCAGGGCCAGGTCACTGCAGCATCATGTACAGTCCTCACAGATTGAAATATGATAATTTAGGGCCATGTAATGCAGATATTTTTGTTTACACCACCTTCTATTTGTGTGACATCACCATAATTTTGGCTCAAATCAGAGCCAATATTGTGTCTAGTGGCCAGCTTCGTAGTGGTATGCTGTGGTGGTCTCGAGAATTTGCAAATACCAGTCTATATGTTTAAAATATTGATGTTGCATTGCAATCAATGGGCACTGTACAATGTGAATGGTGCATAATAAAAGGATAAACTATGCTTGTGCATGTTCTCTTACTGTAGCTTTGTATCCTTTATGCTGGTATCAGATTTCGTGGCCAAGTCAACTTTGTGATCAAAATCAAGATTGCATTTCTTGTATGTGTTGATGCCAAAAATATGCTGAAATTATCATTTTAGGCAATATTGCAATGGGTTGCGAATTCCTAAATGTGTCATTGCAAATACATTTCATATCACTTGCATATATGGCTCAAAGATAAAAACATTGCACACTTTGCTACATATGCAGACATGCATATGGATGCATGGGCATTCCATTTATTTTGAACCTTGGAGTCCATTATATGGAAACCGGTGCTCTAAATAATGAAAAATTTAATTGCAATAGTATTTTTGTGCTACACAAGACCAACACCAAAACTGCAAGGCTCGTAAATACCTTTCAAAGAAAAATACGGAGTAACACAATGGTAATACATGATGGTTCGGCGAACTGGGAGCGCAGGGGTAAACACAAAGCAAAGAGGAGGCACACAGCACGAGCGCTCGTGCTGTGTGCCTCCTCTTTGCTTTGTGTCTGTGTTTACCCCCGCGCTCCCAGTTCGCTGAACCATCATGAATTACCAAGTAGCCCACCTTTCCATCCTATTACAAGGGTGATAAACATATTGTAATAAAAGGCTAATATATGTATGTTGAAGGAATGCTCTGGAATTCATAAAAGGTCGGAATTTCTTCTTTACCCCATTTAGCAACCTGCTACCTAAATACTATGCATGCATACTTTGACAAGTAGTTTCACTGGAACAAAAACCATCATTTACAAAAATAATCATGATCATAAAGTCATAAACCCCTCTCAACAAGACGCAGTGGTCTGTGGTCGGTCACTACTTAACACATGCTCATCTTCTGAATGCATTATGCATCGTCCCTAAAAGAGTAAGTATGGTTCTTTTACTTGAGGTTCGCTTTTTTTAGCTTTTTACCAGAACAGATGAGAAGCGGATAATGGTTCGGATTGCAAAGCTGTGAGAGGAGTGCATTCCTGGGGTAAAAGTAATTGGTGCATGCCATTATACAAGAGATGTGCCCATGTTTTCAAAAAAAGAAAGGAAGTAATATGGCGTTTTTTAAGGTTCAGTATGCCATTTTGAACCACCCTTGCTGCTCCATGCTGCAATTTGCAGGTCTTTCGGCAAGCAAGGCTTCGAGCACCAAGCGCTATCTTCATGGATGACTTGGACACTCTTGTCGGTCGCAGGTCCGGAGAGCATTCAGGATCACAAGAACGCATTCTCTCCGCACTCTTGTGCGAGATTGATGGGATCGGTTAGTGAAATACACCATTTTTTTTTTTTTCATTTTGATTTATTCGTACCTCAAGCAGGCCCATAGCCAGGATTTTTTTTTGTTTCTTCTTCTTCCAGGGAAGGGGGCACTTGATTAAGACCTTGACTATTTAAAAAAAAAACGCCTATTTTCATTATTTTCTTTAAGAGTATTTTCTTTTTCTCTCTCCATCAGAATTTCGGGGGATGGGGGTGGCTAGGACACCTGCCCTTGCTATGGGCCTGACCTCAAGGATCTTAGAGAATTATTACCATACATGAGAGGTGGGCAAAAGAAAAAGATGACAGTTCACAGTCAACATACCTAAGTAAATTGGTTCTTACTGCTGTTTCAAGCTGAGTGCAATTTTTTAACCTGACAGATGAGACAGACGGGTTGAAAGGTTTTGAATGTTTTGAATTTGATTTTGAATGCTTCGATCAATTATATGATGTACTGCTTACAGGTAGTGGAGTGCTTCAAAGGAGCGGACACACTCAGGTGAGTTTTTCTCAATGGAAGAATATGTTTGAGAGTGCACAATGCAGGGATGTACAGAAATTAGTGGTTAGATTAACCAGGTTACAACCATGCTTTGAGAGTCACTCGCCAATTTAAGTTATCTTATTTGACTGATTTCCCAAAATTGCATCAATTGACGAGCAGTGGTCTGAACATAAAGCAAAGTTACTAGAACACATACAATCAAAAAATTTAATTTCTTGCTGTCAGTGCATGCATGAAAGTGTGCGGTGTGCGAAGATATCAAGCGCAACAAATGAAGGCATGGTTCTTTGGTCGCAGGATCAGCAGAATGTCATCTTGGTAGCTACAACAGCCAACCCTGATGCAGTTGATGAAGCTTTACTAAGACCTGGAAGATTTGACCTGATTGTCTACGTTCCACCACCGGATGCTCAAGTGATTATGCTAATGCTTTGTCCAGCAACCATCTATGGTCTTTTTAAAACTAACAGCGCTGCTTTTTGCAGTTTTCTGCTCCGCAGCAATGGAGAGTTATCATTCAATAAAGTATCTCAAGAGTAGTTTTGCTGAAAATTACACTTCACAAGTAAATGCCTAACTTACTCTTTCCTAAGAAATGCATGCTAGCACTACAGTACAATGAGTGGGACCTGATCCCTGCTTCATGGCTACCCGATTCATCACTTTCTGCTCCTTTTTTTGGTTTGTGAAGTCTTTTTTTTTTTATCGCCCGACCAATGTTTTCTTAATCTTCAATTAGATTGCCCCAACAAAATTTACTAGATTACTTTTTTCATCAATAAACACTCACAAATGACTTCTTGTGCTGCTTTTTGCCTTATCGTTCTTAATTGAAAGAGGCCTTCGTAAGACCAAACTATTTTCGCACCACTTGAACAATACAGGTACCCAATACGTTGATTGTTTTCTTGCAGACTCGAGAACAGATACTCAAAGTTAGCACTGCAAAAATGGCACTAGGAGATGTGGACTTGATGTCCCTTGCAAACAGAACCGAGTACTTCACCGCAGCTGATCTTGTGCATCTTTGTCACGTGGTAAGTGGGAACCACTCACTTAGTTTTAGAACCATATGCAAGATCATATGTGTGCAGTAATTGCAGTCTAGACATGCACTCTCTTTTTTAAACATTCAGAGCATTATGAACATTTAGGAAGCTATGTCAGAATTCCTTACTGTAAATTTGAGGTAAGATTAAAATATTACTTCAAATATATATATATATATATATGTGTGTGTGTGTGTATGCGTGTGAGGGAGAGAGAAAACATTTATTGGCGAAAAAAATAAAAGTATGAAGAGTAGGTAGGTGGGGTTCCCATTTCGGGGCGCCACTGGTTTGAGGCTTACTGCGCCTGGTCAAGGAGCATTAGTTGCACCCCCAGATCATCGCTGGCAAGCAGAGCCTTCTACTGCTCCCCTTGGGAATTTTGGACAGGTATTTGCGGCAAGTTAATTTCAGTTGGCCTGTTCTGGCAATGATTGAAAGGAAGATGGGGATATGTGTGTGTCTGTATAAGTGTGGTGGACCGTACTACTCAAGCCTTTGGTGCTCAAGGATGTCTCGCATTAAGAAAGGGCACTCAACCGCTCGGCTTGTAAAACCACGAGCTGCGCCATCTGTTCTCATTACCACCGAGTCCTGCGTGACCTAGGCAGCAGATGGGAACCGACCTATCTGGACCCGACCTAATGCATGATCCTGCGTTAGGTCGGGTCCTAATAGACGAATGTTGTTGCGTGATAGTCTTCCGGTGAGAAGGAGTCCACATGTGACCTTGGAATCTGTAAGAGCAAGCGCGACGGCTGAAGCCTCAGCGGTATATGCGACGCAGCTCGAGCCGTGGCACAAGTCTGAAAGCCTTGATCCGCGGCCGCTCCTACAACTGTGAGGGCATACTTGTTTGTACTGCATATGGCGACATCTGCATACACCATGTCTAGGTTGCTCCCAAATTGCCGCTGTAACTTGCGAACTCGAGCGCTCCTACGACCTCTGCTATATTGTGGGCTCATGTCTTTTGGGGATAGAGGCTACCGTAACCCTTTCATGTAGCTGTTAAGCCATGGACTCTAGTTATCCTTGAACATACTGAGCTGGGCAACTCACATGACATAGCAATTTTCTCCCAGGATGGGTTAGGCTAAACTTTTTCCCGTTGAGAAATCAATGAAAAACAGCCACACCGCTACATAAAAGCAATGAAATCACTATGTGTATCTGATAATGGCATTGAGTGATGCAGTACCGTTCATGCTTGAAACTATACAACCCAAAGCCAAATCTGGGTTCTCTACTCAGCGCCTGCCATTTTATAGGCAATATTTGTTGCCTTAATGAGCAGATAAAATCGCTATGCTACCTGCTATAGGTTCAAGTCAAAACAACTTACTACAGGTTGGTGGGTTCAAAGGAACCAGAAAGACAAAACTTACTGGAGCTCTATAAGGTGACCTATTCAAAAACACAAGCACTAAAGTTTTATAGCTGGCATCATTCTACTGGTCAGAAGAACTACATATAGTCCCCTAAAGCATGAGTGGCAACTTTGTTTCGTCCTCAAAATGTGGAACTTTTTAAATAAATGTTTGATTTTATATTTATTCACTTTTCATTTCATTGTTAGACTTTATTTATTCAATCTCATGAATAAGTCCTATTTTACATTTGCTCAACCCTGCTAAGGCCTGTCCTCTTCCTTGCAACCTGAACTTTGCTTTTCTTTTTCAGGCTGGCCTGCAAGCCATGAGTGAACTTGGATTTAATGCCCCTTGTGTAGAACAGCGGCATTTTGAAGAAGCTCTTAGGAGAACATTTCCATCACTATGCCCACAGAAAGTCGAACACCTGCGGCAACAATGTGCAAAGTTTTGCCTGGTTACGTGACCAATAAATTTTCTTCATAGTTTTTTAAAAAAATATACAGTTTGGCAAGAACACTTGTGCCAGTAACATGTGTTTCTTGTATGTGCCTTGATGGAACAGTTGTTACTGATACACTCTGCATCAGACTTTAAAGGGACACTTATTAGGACAAATTATGGTGAAAAGATTAGTTGAACTAAACCTTACTCTTAATCTAGGTTGGTACAAAACAGTGAATGGACAATACGTGTGCCTGCTGTATTGGCACTCCTCTACAATGTTATCCATACTTGCATTCAGATTTGTTCAAGTTGAACGTGCACCATCTTGTCCAGCATTCGTATACTGCTATAGTAATATCTGGGGTTTAACGCTCGAAACCATGATATGATTATGAGAGATGCCATAGTTGAGGGCTCCAGAAATTTCGACCATCTGGTGTTCTTTAGTGTGCCATGACAACGCACAATACACTGGGCTCTACCATTTCGCCTTCATCAAAATGTGACCACGACGGCCAAGATCGAACCCAAGGCTTCTGGGTCAGCAGCCGAGCACCTTGGCCTCTATTCCACCGAGGCAGACTTTCTATACTATTATTTCATTCACAAAACTTTATCTGTGTCCTGAAGCCCGGTCTTTTCAGACCGAAGCCGGCCGCGTCCACGTCGGTACCGTCAGGCCGAGCCTTATGGCGTCATCGTGGACCTTCTGGACTGCCCGTTGTTGGTCTTAAGAAGACGCGCTTCGCACCATCGTCTGCCAGGAAAGCCATTGTTCTTCGGGGTCGGCGAGACTCGCGGGACAGCCCGCCAGCATATTGCTACAAAATATTCTGAAGTGCCCAAGTCATAACTTTCACTGAGAATACAGCTGTCAAGAGAAAAAATTATATCATAGTATAGAATTGGAGTCGCCACTGTGACAGTATAGTATTAGCTACCACGCCATAGTGTGTGCCATTCATACATGGTAAATTGCAGGCAACAATCAGAAGTTGATTAGACTGCATTTGAAGATGATAGAAAATGCAGTGCTGACAATCTTATTGGAATTTTTCCGACTTGTTGATACAACCTCTACATGCTGCTTTGTTGAAACGTGTGTGATTACCTCTCTCCACAAGCCTTCTATTTGAACCAGGCAGTAGTGTGCCTGGCACATCACACTCCTATATCAGGAATCGGGCTGCCCTTCCAGAGTGCAGTTTTATTCAAACGAATATTGTGAGGTCGCCAGATATGCTGTGATTGTCTCTTGCTCGTAATGGTAAGACAAGACATGGTCATTGTCTTGATAGAACTTCAGGTTCTCCAGAGACCGTGGAGAAAAAAAGAAGGTAGTGTACAAACTAAAAAAACCTTTTTCGTATCTCACACCTGCCAGCCCCTGTAGCTTAAAAATCTTAATATCCTATCAGCTTGATACCCAAGAGGTGAGCAAGTAAAGGAAAACACAAATTTTTATATTTGCCTTAAGCACACGTTTTTTATATATTCCACTTGCGCATTATTAAAGGGATCTGGAACATTTTTTGAGCAAGGTCAGAAAACACTGCTGATTGATAGTTGAGGCTCCCAAGAACATGTGTGCCAAATATTATAGCGTAGGACATGGCTTGAAATGTACAATAAATTTTCAAATTTAGCTAAAGATCTCTTTCTCTTCTTTCGACAAATGACACAACAGGCTCAAAAATCACTGCACCCCAAACCAAGTATCAGCCATTGGCTGATTTGAGCATGGCGTGCTCGGTCGTTACTGGGGCCGCCGTGGAAGCTGCCGACTTGTCCACGCTTGCGCGAGCATTCGCACTGAAAAGTTGTGCATTCAGGAAAAAAAAAAAAGGAAAGTGCTGAAGGTCTCTAAGTGCACGTGACGTCTTTTCTTCCTCCACGCCAACCATCCCTGCTTAGTTTTCAGTGCTTTCGTCAGCACGCGAGAAGAGAAAAGTGCAATTGCAGCGTGCGACAAATCGTTAACTCCACTCGCACTGGACAGATTCTCAAAATTTTTGCAGCGGTGAATTCGTGTGGCAATAAGCTCTTCTTGTGAATCAATTTCATGGCTACTTCGAAAAGTGTTGCAGGACCGCTTTAACAATAGTATCGTGTTTGCCACAGCATGAAAGCAACCACAAAGACAAGCAACACGTTGTTTCTAGGTCACGTCTTTAGTGGCGTTGCTGTAGTTTCTAGCTCGAAGCGTGTCATTTATCTTGCATCCTTTCAGAAGACCCTAACGAAAGTTTCGGAGGCCAATGAGCAAAATGCGTGGGAGAACAGGATTTTTTTTTCAAGATAATGATGAAGTGTTCATAAAGCAAGCCCATGCTCGCATACTTTAAGAAAAATTGGGAACCACTTCCAGGTGTGCATAGTTGTACCTGGACATGTGCTAAAACTAGCTTGTTTTTGTACTAGCACTAGTTAAAGCAACAGGCAGTGAAACATGAATGGTTTTTGTCAAAAATAACGTTTAATACATGAAGACATGGCTTAACACCAGGGAAAGAAAGATGAAACATGCTGATCCTATCAATGTGAACAGAGCAAAGGCTTTTGTTATGTACAGACGATGGTTAAGTTGCAACTGTATGAAGAACAGAAATGGTGTATATTCCCAAGACTGTGCACTCGAGATGCCATACGTCGTTCGAGCAATAAAACAACTTAACACACTTCGAAAATCCATTTCTGTTTTCTTTTAAAATCACTGAGTATTTATATACAATGACTTGAAGTGGCTGGCATCTGGATTCTCAAAAACTAAAATCAGAGGTATGGCGCAACACAATTAAGAAAAGACCTCTAGAGACTGTGCGAGTGCCTTTTCCTGCAACAGTTGCAACATGAAAAATTCATTGAAATGGTGCAAAATGAGCTACGTGAATCTGAACATTTTCCGAGTTTTATACCATCAGAGTTCTTATAGTAAACCGGTAGCCATCTGCTCAGAGTTCTTGATCAATTCGACTTAGTTCTGCGATCTGCAAGCCTCTGGTTAGTTCAATAGTAGAGCAGCTGCTTTGGAAAGGTCTTGGGTTCAGTCTCAAGAGAAAGATGAATTCCCTTTCAACTGCAAAGCTTTCATTCTAAGGAACACATGCTAAGTTCCTGTGGCTTCATGCTACACTCGGGTTAGTGACTATTTCTCCCTTCGAGTTTCCACAGTTGGGGGGGGGGGGGAATGCACCGGTCGAAAAAACGCGTACAACACAAAAGGCAGGAAGGGAGAAGTGCAGAAGAGCTAGGCACACTAAAAGAGAAATGTGTAAAAGTGCAACCACTTGATACTAAAACAATGCAAGCCAACAAAAGTGACATGTCACATATAAATAAATAACGAAAGCCTCGACAGACACACCTCAAATGCTTTGCATGAGGTACCCTTGCCCATCGATATCGACAATAATGTAGCCAACCCACACGAAGGGCCAGTGCCAGGTCTACACGAATGACCCACAACCTAAAAGAGAGACTCATCATGGCAGAAGGGAAAGTAAGCTTGTGCCATCACCTCATTAGAAATGCAATGTGGTTGCAGCGCTGTATCATGACATATTTTAAATACAGTGCCCAAATCACTTGACATTATTGCCCTAATCTGGCAGCATACAAGCTCAAATCTTGTAATATGTGGTAACATATTATGCCCCACACAAGCTGACTAAAGAAACACTTCCCAAAATGATGTGGCTACTAACCTGCACAGCAACGCGTAAAGCTGCCCAGTATTAGGTCCTCTTCAATTTACATCAGTTTTGTACTTTCTTTTTGAAAAAGAAAAAAATCTATGGCAGCTATGACATGCACATTGCAGGCATATGCAAATGTGCAGAAGTGCATAAATCAAAGTGGTGAATGCAAAAAAAAAAAAGAACAGCTTACAAGAAACATAGCAATCCATATTTGCTGCTTCAGGAAGTCAACAACATTTGGCAAAGAAAGATGCAGGGGACAGTTGGTGGTGAACAGTGGCTCCCTGATGAAATGCATGATGGGCAACGTGATGCATACAAATGTTGAGGTGGGATTCATGAAGCGCTGAACAACAATGGCTGTACAAGAGGAGACACACACACTTCCTGCAGTGCACTTTCAGAGGTCCCGCCTCCATATAGTTCCTTAGAGGACACAGAGAATGCCTCGAAAATTGGGTGGCACACAAATGAATGTGCAGGTGCTCAGTCTCGCTTCACAAGGGAGCTTCAGTGCAGGCGACACCATCGCGAGCACACACACTAACGTGGGCACCAATCCTGCTGCAGTTACTGCCGAGATGACGGTGGCAGTTCGGTATCCTCCTCTGCTGCTGCAGACGCAACCAGACGACGCACAACCTTGTCCAGGCGCTCCTTCTTCACTTCCCTCTGCAAGTAAAACACATGGTAACTAGGTCAGCAAGATTTGTACACAATGGTAGCAGCAACAGGATGCAAGCTGTAAAATTAAATACAATTTTACCTATTTAAGAAGCGCAGTGAAAAGAAACTCGGTCGTCTAGTGCATAGTCGACTCCTCTTTGCCGAAGGTTGTAATGGTTTGCATCCACGCGTTGTTGTTTTATGTGATGTCGCGCCAACTGCCGTGCTTCTTCGGCTCGCTGAATGAATTCGTTGATGTCAGGCTTGTGCTCTGTATTGTCGCACAGGCAGCATTGCATCTAACGGTGTGGTAACTGTTCGACCATAGACTAGCTGAAATGGCGTCACTTTAGTAGTCTCCCGCACAGCAGTATTATAAGCGAAAGAGGCGTGCGGCAGTATCTTGTCCCACGTACGGTGCTCCAAGTCAACGTAAATGGACAACATATCGGTTAGAGTTCTATTGAGTCGCTTGGTAAGCCCGTTCGTTTGGGGATGGTAAGCCGTTGTTTTCCTATGACACGTGTGGGTAAGTTTCATAATGGACTGCGTCAGATCGGCTGTGAATGCAGTTCCTCAATCCGTGATAACTACCTTTGGTGCACCATGCCGTAGTACAATGTTAGTGACGAAAAATTCAGCGACTTCTATAGCCGTGCCCCTGGTGAGAGAGGCTGTCTCGGCATACCGGGTTAAGTAGTCTGTCGCCACTACTATTCATCGGTTGCCCATGGATGACGTAGGAAATGGACCAAGTAGACCCATTCCTACTTGTTCAAACGGAGATTTAGGGGGTTCTATTGGTTGGAGAAATCCTGCAGGTTTCAATGGAGGCGTTTTGCGTCTCTGGCAATCTCTACATGTCCTCACATAATGCAGTACAGCATCCAGTAATTTTGGCCAGTAGTGCTTGGTGCGGATGCAAGCCAATGTTCTGCTCACTACGAGGTGTCCTGCTGCTGGGTCATCGTGGCAGGCTTCCAGGATTTTGGGTGGCAAGCCTGAAGGAACGACGAGTAGGAATTTCTCCCTGCTGTGCTCGAAGTTTCTCTTGTATCTCATCAGGTACGAGGTCAATCCCCGGACGAAAACTCGAGGAACACCCACGGGTTGCCCCTCCAGATGCTTGATCAGCTGAAGCAACTCCGCATCAGATCATTGATATTCAGTCATGTCTGCGGTGCTGACGGTTCCAAGAAACGGAAAGTCGCCTCCATCTTCCACAAGTGCAGATTCCACTGGTGAGCGTGACAAGCAATCAGCATCGCTGTGCTTGCGACCCGACTTGTATACGACTGTTATGTCGTATTCTTGCAACCTGAGGCTCCATCTAGCAAGTCGCCCAGAAGGGTCCTTTAGGCCTGCGAGCCAGCACAGCAAGTGATGGTCGCTCACTGCTCGAAATGGTCTACCATATAAGTATGGTCGGAATTTCTGTATGGCCCATATTACCACCAGACATTCTTTTTCCGTCGCCGAATAATTTATTTCAGCTCTCGAAAGAGTGCGACTAGCATGTGTGACCACTCATTCCTTTCCGTTTTGCAGCTGCACGAGGACGGCGCCTAGTCCCAAATTGCTTGCGTCCTTGTGAATCTCTGTTTCAGCTTCTTCGTGGAAATGTGCAAGGACGGGGTGGTTTAGGAGTCGCTGTCGTAGCTCATTAAACGTGTCTCCGTGCTCGCTTGTCCAAGTGAAAGGCGTGTCTTCTTTTGTCAGTCGGGTTAGTGGTTCCGCAATCTTCGAAAAATCTTTGATGAATCTTTTGTAATAGGCACGAAGTCCTAAGAATCATCTCACAGCCCTTTTATCTGTCAGTCTAGGAAACTTTTCTACAGCTGCTGTCTTTTCGGGGTCAGGTCGAATGCTTTCAGAGCTAACCACATGACCGAGGAAAAGCAGTTCATAAACACCAAAATGGCACTTTTGGGGTTTTATCGTTAGCCCTGCTGAACTGATCACTTCGAGCACTGTCCGTAGTCATTCCACATGCTGATCGAAGGTGGCCGAAAAGATCACAACGTCATCGAGATAAACAAGGCAGGACTGCCATTTTAACCCAGACAGCACAGTGTCCATCATCTGCTGAAATGTGGCGGGTGTGGAACACAGGCCGAATGGAGTACCTTGAACTCGTATAACCCATCTGGGGTGACGAAAGCAGTTTTCTCGCGATCTCGTTCGTCGACCTCTATCTGCCAGTATCCGCTCTTCAGGTCTAGAAAAGAAAAGAATTTTGCACCTCGTAGTCTGTTAAGGGTGTCATCGATCCTTGGAAAGGGGATAGACATCCTGCTTTGTAACGACGTTCAATTTTCGGTAGTCAACGCATGAGCACAAGGTCTGGTCCTTTTTCTTTACCAGCAGTATAAGTGAGGCCCATGGGTTGGCCAATGGTTGAATTACGTCGTCTCTAAGCATTTCTTCAAGTTGGCCTCTGATGACTTCCCTCTCTTGGTGACACTCGGTACGGGTGCTGGCAAATAGGTCTAACAGATTGATCGATTATGATGCGGTGTTTCGTGATGAATGTTCTTTGCACTTTCGATGACGTGGAAAAACACGAGCCGTACTCCCGTATAAGGCTCTCGATTTTTGTTTCTGGTTCGGTAATAGGGCTGCTTCAATGTGGATAGATGCGAATATGAAATCTATACCGTCAGGCTGTAGTGGTGCAGTCTCTGAAGAATTCAAATCCATAATCGGAACGTAATCGTGCAAGCGACCAACAACAGTTCCCTTTGCAAGATGTTGCACCTCATTTCGGAAATTTGTCAGGAAGACGCTCGTAAACCCATCACGCAGTCATACAATACCTCTTGCTGCACAGATCCTTTTCTCGAGTAATAGCTCAGTATTGCTTTCTACCATTCCTTCATAGTCGTTGTACACGTTGCTTTTCACGGTGACAACGATGATGGATCTTGGAGGTACTGTTACATCATCACCTGCAATCTGGAGCACATCGAATCGTTTTTCACTCTCAAATGTCGCGATGGCGTGTTTCGTGGAAAACGAGACGCACGTTTTCTGCAAGTTTATCACTGCGCCATTGGCCTGCAAAAAGTCCATTCCGATAATTGCATCTTTTGAACACTCCGACAGGACAATGAAGCTGGCGACGTAGGTGAAGCCACGTATTCCGACTCTAGAGGTACACGTGACTGCCGGATCGATAAGGTGTCCCCCGGCGGTTCGCACTTGCGGTCATATCCAAGGGGTAAGCACTTTATTCAGCGTTCTGGCAAGTCCCCTGCTCACGACGGAATAATCTGCGCATGTGTCTATTAAAGCATTCGTTTCGTAGCCATCTATAAGTACCGACAAACCAGAAGCGGCATTACTGTTTCCGCACGTAGTCTCACGTCCATCATCACACTTTGAAATCGGCACTGGAGGTTGTTTTCTTGCGTCGGCAGCGGCCTTACTTCCCCAGGTCGCCGATTCTAGTCTTCCTGACGCGGGCTTAGGGGAAGTCGCCTCGGAGAGTTTGAAAATGGGCGCGGACTTGGTGACCGATACCTTAGTGGCTCTGTCGACCGAGACTGATGCTGCTGCGAGGAGCGAGTACCTTGACGCGTTGACAAGTACTGCTCAATTTCAAAAGGTCGTTCCCCATTCCTTGGACAAGCAGCATTTACGGTAAAACCCCGAAGTCCAGCTCAGCGATATTCACACATCCTGTAAAGATGGCCAGCTTCGCCTAAGTGATAACAAAGCGAAATTTGATCAGGAGTGCGCCATATATCAGCTTTTCGGATCCTCGTCTCGGCTGGGGACGGCGTGAATCGAGGTTTCGGCAGATGCGTGCTTGCTGCGGCGAAATAAGGTCCTGGGGCTACGAAAGGAGGTACAGGGGTGCCTCTCAGCACCTCGGCGTACGAGACTGCGGGCTGCATCAGAACCGACGCTTGAACCGGCTGTGCTTGTGGCTGCCGCTCACGGACTGCCTGTCTCACTTCCTCCCGAACAACTTCCGCTAATGACGAGACCAATGAGGGGTTGCCGTTTAGCTTCTGGAGCTCTTCTCGAACCATCGATCGAATGAGCTCTTGTAATATGTTGATGCCATTCCCGAAGACTGCTGACACCGTATCTACAGATGCGACGTTAACATCTCGACTGTAGTGCCTGGTTTGCTGTTGCAGAGTCTTTTCAACTGCTGTCGCCTCGGTGCGAAATTCGCCGACATTCCGTGGGGGGGCATCGGAGCAAACCAGCAAAAATCTCCTGCTTCACCCCTTGAATCAGGTGCCGAAGTTTCTTGTCCTCGCTCATATTTTGATCAGACCGGCAAAATAAGCGGCACAGGTCTTCCACATACATTGCGACGCTTTCATTGTTGCGCTGGTTTCTTGCTTGCAAAGCAGCTTCAGCTTTTTCCTAGCGGTCTGTGCTCGGTTATGTGGCCAGTAGCTCCCGTCAGAAGTCATCCCACGACCTAATGGCATCTTCATGGTTTTCGAACCACGTTCATGCGCTGTCCTGCAACGCGAAACAAACGCGGCGGAGCTTCTGTTCTTCAGTCCATCCGTTGCAGTTGTCGACGCATTCCAAACCCTCCAGCCAATCCTCGGCGTCTTCATGAGGATCGCCATGAAAATGGTCGGGCGTCAGTGGCTTATCGACAACGACAAGCGTGGCAGCGACTGGAGACGAAACGAGGTGTGCGGCAGCGATTGGAGACGACATTTCAGTACTCTCACCGGAAACAGCTGGAGACACTCTAGGCTCTGGTGGCAGGGGGAATTCCGGCGGCTCACCACGTAGACGACGGCTGGAGCGCTGATGAACTGGCGTGAGCTCAGTTGGTTCGACTGGTCGTGGTTCAGGGCTGCTTCCTCAAAGTCCAATTCGCGTTTGGGATTGATACCCGGCTCCTCCACCAGAATTGTTACGCAAATCCAAATGGTGTAAGAATAACTGTTTATTAGGGCTAACTGGTGCCCGAAAAGTAAAGGGAAATGTAGCAGCGTTTCTAACAGGCGATCAGCAAAAAGGAATCAATCTCCGAGAAGCCCTCGAGCGGTGCCCCACTTCTTTTTCGTCAAAATCCCATGCTGAGGCGGCGCGCGCCGTCACGGCCTTTTCTTGTCTCATCATCGGGCCAGTGGTCTTTTGGGGGCGCACGAACTAGCGCGCGTAGTTTGAATACTGCGTCTGTCCTGCGTCAATATTTTGTACTATTAGCTATTTAGAAAATGCGAATTGCACACATAAACTAGAGTGTTGACAGTCAACGCTCATCTTAAAGTAACTGTTACTGTGACACAAATGCTGCACTTATTCATTTCCCATTATGTACAATAATGTGGCAATGGCTATCCAATTACAACTTTCGCGTTGCCTTGTTGACCTGTTTCCAACGGTGTTCTCAGTCTAATCCACCTCTTTCACAATGCCATGGTGCACGCCCCCTTCCGCTATAGATGAAGTCACAGAACACCTCTTTATCTTGGAGATTTTTTTTTCTGGCAATACCGCTTGTCCCGACCCCTACCCAAGAAAGCAAAGGGCAGCACAGAAAAATGGAAAATGTGTATTAGCATGCAATAACATTATACAACATCCCATAAGCAACTAACGCAGTAAAAATTTCTTTTCACTTACATCAGCACTCCGGTCATCGGGAAACCCTTGTGCTGTCTTTGCTCGGCTGCGTTTCTGGTATACGACAGGATTGCTTCGAGGCTGTGGAGTTACACACAAGGACAAGAGGGAAAGAGTGAATATTACATGCCGAAAACAAGTGAAGGCATTTTATTATAAATTACAGGAATGGTATTGAACTACTATGAAATCCCACTACAGGAAAAAATACTAACCGAGTACGTTCTCTTTGGAGCAAGCTTTGCGTCGAAGGTGTCAAAGGCATAGCTTTTCATGCAGAAAGGAAACCTGTATTGTTGGGAAGGAAGAAATGTGCATAAGCTACAATTAGCACTAACACAGGAGCATGTTTAAACTTAGGCTTAAGGTAGCAGGTGAGGTGTCTTACCGGGGCTTGTTGATCTTGTAGAAAAGCCGGGCACTCTTGTCGACACGATATTCGCAGATGTAGACGTCTTTTTCTGTTGCTCCCTTTGGTCGGCCTCGGCAGTAGGTGGCCAGGTCCAGCACCCAGCAAGCCCCAGCGACACATTCCAAAGGAAGAATTTCATACAGGGGCACTCGTAAAACCTGTACACAAAATTTTAAAATTTTAAGCACATAAATTTTCTGGTCATCACTGGTTGACAATGCTTTGCATTACAAAAAAAATATTGCCCAGAACATTTATTACATTTGGTGCACAGTTCTCATGTTGATAATGCACCCTATTCCTTCTGCCTTTATATTTAAAGTATTCTAGCTACAAGATGTCATATGGCTACAGAATGCATGAAGCTAAGCTTGTGTGATTGTCTCATAGAGTACGGTAGCTTTGTAGAAAAATTAAGTGCGAAGTTTGACAATTTGAAATCAGATAGGTCCACCAGCCTGCATACCTCATTGTGGTAGAACTTGCGGGTTGGCTCATGAAAGGTCTCGTGTGGCCTGAGGTAGTGGTGACCATAGATGAATTTTTCTCCCCTGTGGACAAGAGCAGTGCACTGGTCAGAAAAATAATTCCACGTACATCAATATTAATGATGCATCAGTCAAATATATTCAGGTGGAGTAATATGCTTATGCATGCATCAAGAAAAGTGCAGTACAAGAACATTTAAGCACTTTTAAAAGCAACGTCAATTATACCTAAAGAAAAAAGAAAGGACTACAGCAACTAGTTAAAACTTAAAAGCCATCAGAACTAGCATTTCCGCTCTTTTTGAATCTAAACAAAACATTATGGCCAATGCCATTGTCTGTTGGCTCTGATGTAGTGCTTGCAACTTACAAACTGGCAACAAAAAAAAAAAAACAATCTTGTGGGATGTTTCAGTTCTGCCAGCATTTTTTTTTTTTATTCTACAAGAAGATATTCTTCACTCCTTGCTCACAATATTAGCTAAGGAATAAGATCACGTAAAATAGGCACTCATCAAAGTTCAACGAACCTTTCGTTCTTCCAGAGGCGTTCCACGCGGAAAACGTCAAAGCTTCCACCCTCTTCTGAACTGGGGCTGTTGCTGCCATGCAAGTTTCTGAGAAGCGTTGATTTTCCCCCACCTTCTTCAGCTGCCGCATCTTCAGCTTTAGTGCTGTCAACTTCCACACTATCTTCGGCCACTTTTGAAGTATTCTTGTCCCCTTGAACCTCTTGGGCCAGCGGCTTCAATGGGCTTTTGTCCTTGAATTTACTCAGGTAGACACAGTCGCCTGTCAATCAAGACATTCTACTTGAGTTTTACTCAAAACACTCACAGGAAATGTCAGTCAGCTATTAAGCAGCAAAAAATTCAGCCTTCATGGCAACAAAATTATATTTAGCACAAAAGTGCCTTCATTATATCTTACATTTGTTACTATAAGCAATTACAGAGCTCATGGAATGAAATCTGAGCGAAAACAATAAAGGGACACTAAATACAATTTCTGTGGGAGTGACAGCTCAATGTATCCCGTCCAAAACAAAACAGTGTTGATTCGGTTAGTGACAACATTATCAACAGCAGTGCCCTACTTACCGAGAAATTAATATACATGCACGAGAACACATGTGCCGCAAGGACATTGGCAAAATAATCCCGATCACGTCAGAGTTACAACTTACAATTAATCACAAGAAAATTAAACTAGCTGCATTAAATAAAGAACCTGTTGTGCATCAAGAGACGTAATTAAATGTTCCTTTTTCGTTTCTGTTCGATTTATAGAAAAAAGAATCGCTGGACGTTACTATGTGGAATGGCGCGAGTGGTTCAAGAATTCAATATTCGCCTGGTTAAACTGGACAGGTTGTGCCATCTAGCAAGGCCTAGTTGAATCAAGCACGTAGAGCCAATAGCACGAAATTGTTCAATGGTGGTTGTTGCTGCTGTGGCTCCCACTGCTTTCGTTCGGCTGCTACTAGTGTTGGCAGCCGCGCACTAAAGCCGAGCAACGTTGTGAACGGCAACAGTGACATGACATGTTCCGTTTGAGGCGGGTAAGTTGAAGTGCGCTAACCCGACGCGGACCACTACAACGCGATATTATTTTTAAAAATAAGCACTTCCTTGGCACAAAAGTAACACTACGAGGTTTCTGAACTTTTATTTCAACAATCAACATCGACTTATTAATTGCCTTTAGTGTCCCTTTAAATACACCAACTGGTATGCTTAAGTGCTCAAGATGACCATGTCATGTTGCTTTCAACTGATCACAAAGGGTGATATGGGTGATGCAAGTCTACAAGCTAATATTATGCCAATGTGACACAAACTCCAGACGATGAACATGAATATGTGCACATAAATCAGACATAAATTGTGTTCTATTTCATAAGCTCTGCATATGTTTACAACTCAGTATCATCAAAATCATTTTAGTACTCCATTACAGCCAATGATTTGCACTAATCAAGGTTCTCTGTATCAGGTTTTATTGGCTAGAAATACTCCAATACCATGGTCATGCTAAATGAGATGCTCTATCAAGAGCCCCAAAACAATTCTGACGCCTCTGGATTTCTCGAGATCGATCTTTTAAAAATGCATGCTTCCATCAAACCCCATCTGATCCAACTATTTGAGAAATCAATATTGCATGAACTGAGAACTTGCACTAGTAATACGACAATTCCAAGCATTGTTCCTGAACAGGCCGTCCACTGATCCACATGTACTACTCAAATAAACATGCCAATGAACATGTGAAACAAACAGAATAAAAGGAAGAAATGCATGTGTCCAGAACTGCACGTAATTCATAGGCTGTCCAGGTGAGCACCATCAACCTGACTTTTGTTGTGATATGAAAATTAAATACATATTCCAAGTTGAAGCGAATGATACACACAACTACTAATCCATGTCACTCACACTGACCCATCACTTGTTACAACAAAAAGAAAGTCGGACACAAAATGCCATTGTAATCTCAAACCAAAATTTTATATTTGGCATTCATAGCACTCACCCTGCTTGACTTGCAAGTTTCCTTTAAGGAGTGTTAGGTAGGACTGGATGCCACCGTTGGCCACAGGAGGTCCCAAAGGAATCTCCTGAACGAGCATATGCAGAACGAAGTGTTGGGAGTCGCATTACAAACATTGCAATTAAAAAACTCACAGTGCACAAATGATTAGAAAAAGTGCAACTGTCTTTTCTAGAGCCACATTTCTTGGGAAGCTCACAAACTATACATATGAATTAATTACGGAGCAAAACATCCCAAAAGTGCACAGTTGATACTAAGGAACAACGCAGTAAAGAAAATTGGACTCAGTGGACCACCTAACATTCATTATGTGCATATACAGCTAAGCGAAAGCATTTTTTGCATTCGTATTCCATCAAAATATGGCTTATATTGTCAGTAATTGAATGCAAAACGTCTGGCTTAGTAGCAGTGTATTAGTTGCCAAGCCACTGCAGAAGTTTATAAATAAAGTCCTCTGCAATCAGGTTTCACGTTCTTTCTTTCATTACTGGGCAAAAATTTTACTGTTGATTTAAACACTTGCCTGTAGGCAGCAAAAGCAGCAGTCTATCGATGCTCTATCTACATTTCTTTAAATCATACAGTAGTCAAAAGCACGAAATTATACAGTATGAAGTGGGCTTGTGCAAAAGTCAGGTTCGAAGCGAATTCGAAGCAAACGAATACGAGGCATGCTCCAGGCAGCAGTTCTTATCTTTTATATGAGATGTCGCTTATAAGTAGGGTACCTCATATGCATTTTCTTATAAACCCATATTTTACTGTATGCACGCTGATATCTCTTATATCCCTTTGGCTCTTATATCAGTGTTTCTTATAAAGGGGTTCAACTGTATGACATATAAAGAAAAACGGCATATTTATCATGACCTAACTTGCACAATTTTTATTTTATTGAACTAAGGCCTCTTAGCGAACGCCATTTTCTGGGTGTTCAGAAGAAGTCAAAACAACTTTGAGCAGTAGCAGAATTTGACTTTTGGTAGAATGTAAATGATAACCTGTAAAATATAATACATTTTAAAACTTACTATGCATAGAGCATATAAGCAAGCATAACAAGCTGTTAAACTTGAAAAAATTATTAATCGATTTGACGGCATTATATTCATATAAGGGAGCCCTGCAATACTTTTTCAAGTAACCATACAATGGATTCACTAAAAGAGCTTATTGGCTGATGAGGTCACCACCACAAAAATTTTTAGAATCTGTTTGGTACGAGCGGAGTTACAATAAATTTGTCACACGCTGCGCATGCATTCTCTCATCTCTCATCCCAACGAAAGTGCTAAAAAAATATATCACGTGCGCCTTGTCACCTTGGGCACCTTTTCTCTCTCTCTTTTTTTTTTCTTCGAATACGCGGTTTTTCAGTACGATAGTGCACGTATGCAGGGACAAGTCGCGGCTTCCCACGGCTGCCCTAATAAAAAAGGAGTTCACTACACTCAAATAAGCCAGCCGCTGATACAATGGCTGTGACGAGTGATTTTAAAACTTGTGACATCATTTGGATAGATGCTCTCACAGCTTCATCCCCCTAAAGTGCAGTGAAATTACCTTTACAGGCAGTTACATGCTCACTAATATACACCTTTTCATTCATTCCCAATACTTCAAAATTTTCAACAATTTATATTCGACTCGAAGCAAATTTAAATACTCTACTATTAGTCCGAATATTGGAAGCATTCGAACATTCGCACAAGCCTAGTATGAAGAAATTTCTTTTCCAACGGTATTTATCAGCGCTGATAGAAATGTTCATTACATGATATAAAAATTAGTTACATGAAAAATTGTACGCACAAGACACACGCAAGAACATCTAAGTTAATTCACAAAGATTACGACAAAAAATTTTCCAGGATATGCGTCTGATACACATCACATCTCTGCATAATATGCCTTTCAAGTTCAGAAAGAAAGCAACTGTTCTTGTAAACCGCGGCGCAGCTCTCTGGCATGATGGCAAGGTTGGCAATCGACCATCTACACTGCACAAAGCACAACTCTGCACTGTTAACACCAATTGATGCTGGCGCACTTCAAATAAAAATCCTGGCCTGCCGAATATCTCCCGATAAGTGCAAGGCCGCACTGAAATCATGCAGAGAAGAAAACCAAACTCGCCAGGGTATACGTGCTGACATTGTGGGCCTGTTTGGTGCACTTTCACAATCTGAGCGACCGAAATCTGGTGAAACAATGTTTTCACTGATGCAGTCCATGTCCGAAATTTCACATATGCACTATTTCCACAACATCTTGGCAAATAGCATTGCTGCCATGTTCAAAACTGCAACAATGGCTCTGCCATTTTAAATTTCTTCTACAGAATGAGCTTGGAAGACACTGGAGCTTCGCCTTCAGGAGCACAACGCGATAGCATAATTAGGCCCGTGCACATTGCCTTGAACCATGCCACAAGGGAAGGAACGTTCGTGTGTGCAGCATTAGTTGTTTCAAGCAATCGTAGAATGTCTACTGGATGTACAGTTGCTAAGAACACACTGCGCTAAGGTTCTTCCTTTTTTTAATTGGTGAAGTACCAGCTACTCCTCCATAACGTGCCACAAGTACTTGCATAGCTGTGCACTTTTCAATTGCTGGGCAACTCTAAACCACCCACTCGTTGGGGAATCGACTGACGCCATCGTGCGTTGAGGAATCGAATGACGCCATGGTGCGATTCTGGGATTCTGCCATGCAACATTACATGCGTTAAGGAGGTGCCTTCTACTCCATGGCACTTATGTATTCTTTTTTTCCAACGTACTTAGCTGGCCACTTTTAAGTGGGTGTGCACAGTTTTACATCAGCCATTCCTTGACCAATTAAACACATTTTGATGCCTGGTGCAATTCTAGGACTATGCAACACAATATTAAAATGCATTAAGGAGACTCCCTGCACAAAATGACATTCAGATATTTTTTTCCAAGGCACTTTCAAGCAATGACGTGACTCTGAGGTAGAATACCTGTGGTTACGCAGACAGCCTCGGTTTGATTATTATTTCAACCCGAAAATTTTTATTGTTTATTTCCAATTTTTCGGCCATGAACAAGATGGTTTTTCACTCACAACCAATGTCGCCGACACCAGAATTTCTGCAAAACGAGCTCTTTAACACTCTTGCATTATTAAGCTGAATGAACAACAAACAAGCAAAATGGCAAGGGTAGAGTTTGTATTACCTGCCGGATGAAGCGCTAAACCAAGCTCACAACATGCTATTTGCACGGACAGCCTTGACTAATTTTTGTAAAAGTAGGCCTCGATGTACTCAACTTACCAAACAAACTTCACGTGGATTGCACAATTCACACAGGTAGTTTTCTATGTCACCATTTACACCCATGCAGTCACAGTGCTGCCAGACCTGAAAAGCAAGATGAAAAGGATCACCATACTCGACCGTCTTTCCAATCATACAGAAGATCATGTGCAAGTGGTAGCAATAGATGAGGCCTATTGCACAGGAAAAAAAAAAAAAAAAACTTCCGAAATTTGATCAAAGCAAACCATTCATTTTTACTTTTTTGCATTACCTTTGTCTTCAAGTTACAATACTGCAAAATCACCAATCATTCAATAGTTGGCTGGCTTCTAGACCTCCTTTTAAGACAAAGTTCAGTACTGTTCAGACAGCATGTATTCCAACTAAATAATGGGGGTACATTTTCTGTAAGGAGGTTCATGAACTAAAGAAAATTTGAGACAGAGGAAGGAGCACTGGCGTAGGGAGGCTGGGGATATTCAACTCCCCCCCCCCCCCCCTTCTTGCCACTTCCTTCAAATTTTTTAATTATGCAAATTTTTTAATTATGCGCCGGCCCGAGTGGCATAATTATGCATTATGCCGCTCGGGCCGGCGCGTCGTGGCACTTCACAACGTATGATGCGGGAACGATCCCACAGTTGCAACGCAGCAGCGGAGTTCCCAATGCATTGCATTCTACGGGAGCTGTGCCGGGACCGGCCGAAAACGACGTAACAGCCAGGAAAACGAAGCACACGGGAACGCAACAGGGGGGTTCTACTGTACGTGGAAATTTTATGCGCCGATATCTCTCAATTTTGTTTTTCCCTTATCCAAAGCAGCACACCAGCTATCGCCCGCATACCAGGGCTGAGTTAGTTTGAAATGTGCTCTTTTTTCGATGATTTCTCTTGCTTGGCATGTGCTGCCACACTTCGGAAATATGTGGAAACTGTTTTTTATGTGCCGATGTGTCCCTGTTTGTTTTTTTTTTTCTTTCCAAAGTGGCGTGTGGGCTTTTGCTGATGCCTCCGAATGTGCACGCGCGGTGCGGCTGGCTTCGGTCTTGCCCTTTTGGGTGGTTTTCACTTTTCGTGCCAGCAAAGCAGATGGATGTCTGGTTTCTAATTTATGAAAGCGTGACCATTTGTTTACTCTTTCGTTTATTGCTCCCCAGGACACAAATAAATCTGTTTCCATGTGGTGCTAAATTACCCAAACGATGCCCCTAAGGTAGCGTTTCTCGTTTTGGGGACTGAAAAATGAACTTCGTTTTGTTGGCAATAAGACGGAAGATTATCATAGCTTTTTCGCTTATTCTGCTTTCTGGACAGGCACACAACCATACAGTTTTTTTTCCGTACGCTCACTCACGCAGTTCGCTTACACAACGGATGTGCGGGCCGGTTGCTCTAGAATCTGAATTATTCGATGTCAGTTTGTCAGACAAAGATTTACCTGCGAGTTCATACACAGATGATAATGAAGGAGCGACATTTCGAAAGTGTGTGCAGCAATGCGATTCAGACTGGATTGAAGGTGACTACTCCCCAGTTTGTAGTGTCGGAGCAAAAAACATTCTTTGCTGGAACAGTACTCTGGTGTGGTTATTTTAGTATGTCTGTAAGCTATTTACAATGCATAATTGTGAGTTATAAAAGGGCACATAAGCTTTTTTGGGGATTTTTTTTTTTGATGTTGCATACAAATAAACTACGTGTATGTAACCAGAAAAATATTTTTTTCACCACTTCACAGGCATGCAAAAAATATTAGGACAATTGTTTTCTTAAATAGCATCGTCTGAAGAATTTATTCAGTAATTGAAAATTGCACATTTTTGGAGTTCATTTTGCAAAAAAATTTGACTCTCAAAGGGTTTAAAAACAAGACAAAAAGAGAAGCAGACGAATTTCTCATTAAACTTTGTACTATGATGAAAAACACTCACAAAGCACTTCTCGCACTGGATCATCAGGCCTTCATCCTTGAAGATGTTGCAGACGCACCGGATCACCTCCTCATCCTCCTCCGCAGGTTTTTCTTTTTACCCACCAGACAAGAAGAGTAACGAAAGCAATTAACGCACAAGAAAGTAAATATAGTCACACAAATGTGTCTCTCTAAACAAGATGGACACGACAATTTATAAATTATACAATCCAGGTCATGCCAAGAATTTAGTTGAACTTTTTATGGTTGGTGAAAACGGCAGTGGAAACAAATCCTGAACAGCCTCAGTCGTACATGCAAGACAGCAACTGAAAGCCCCTTATGAAAACAAAATGCCACTGGCAAGGTGCTGCAACATTTCATGGCTTGGCACTCTTGTTACTCTGCTACATCTCGGCCGAATGCTCACATGTGCACTTGCAGCTCTTGCCATCAGTATTCTCATGCAAATCATCTCGAGTTACAGGCAGCACGAACGTTGATTTTCACCTCATGTCTTGTCACACAAGCCACACGGTGAAATGTTCACTCCTATGACTTTCCTGCAGCTACACAACTACTTTGTACACAGGAGGGCACATATAAACCAGTTCTATTATGCCCAACTTGAATCTCTGTATCTGATGGATACAAAACATGATAACCTAACTTAGCTGACAACTGAATACTGCAAGTTTCTCATTCACTGTTTTTCTGATGGTATGCACCACTGAGATTGCTTGCAAGCCATCTACATAGTGTGCCCTGTTTTTCCAAAATTAGTTTATTCTGCAGCCGTGTTTACTTGGAGCGAACCACTCAGTGCTTTTAAAGGGACACTAAAGGCAAATATTAAGTCAACGATGATTGTTGAAATAGTGGCCCAGAAACCTCAATGTGCTAGTTTTATTCAAAATAAGTGCTTATTTTGAAGTAAAATACCATTTTAATGGTACACATGGCATTAGCGCACTTCAAATCACCCGCGCCTCAAAGCAGTCTTCCAGATGTCACTGTTACTGTGCTCAACGTTGCCTTTACTACGTGGCCGCCGACACCAGTAGCAGCAGAGCGAAAGTAGCGGGAGCCACAGTAGCAACACAGCCATTGAACAATTTTCTGCAATCTCGGAGGCCATGATTCTGCTTGCTTAGTTCGATTGGGCACCGCTAGATGGCATCACCTGTCCAGCCTAAACAGCTGAAATCCACACTTTTGAACCATTCACGCCATTACCCATAGTAACGCCAGGCAGTTGGTTTTTCTACAAATCAAACTGAAACAGACAGGCAGCATTTATATCATCTCTTGATGCTAGGAAAGTTCTTTTTTTTATTGTGCCTAATTTGATTACTAGTGATTCATTGTAGGCAGACACTCTCACCTCATCGGGATCATTTTGCGAATGTCCTACTCGTGGCGCATGTCTTCTCATGCATGTAGCTTAATTTCTTGGTGAGTAAGGCACTGCTGTTGATAATATTGCCGTTTTAGATGTCATACGATTAACTTTCCCTCTGGCATAAATTAAATTGTTATTTGCCTTTAGTGTCCCTTTAATCATTGCCTATGACAGCATTATAAGTGTTCGAAGTCAGGAGAGGAGTCAAACCTTGCCTTACTTTGTAAAGGTTGCTGTTGTTACACACAGTTGATGAATATGCATGTGGTAAGTTGTGGAGACACCACATCAGAACAAGAGACATTTGAAGCTGCTTTGATTGAAAATTGTTGATCCATCTTGTGCATAACTGTCACTTCAGTCACTCTTTAAAACAAGGAAGTGCGCTTCACGAGTAGTCACTCAAGCAGGTTTCCTACTTCCGTTTCTTTAACTTCTATTTCCGTTTTTTTTTTTTTTCAACTTGTAGTTTGACCCAGTTTATCTTTTTTCCCAGTTTTATGTAGTCAAATACGCACCTACGTGCCACGTTACAATCGACTATTATTGTACGTTCATTTGTCACAAGTGTGTGCTGTTTCGAGGTATTTCTCCCGCCTGGCTCTGTTGCCTTTTGTTGCTAGTCATCAAGCACCTTGTGCTCACGCGCATTGTCTAGCTGCAGCGATGCTTATCAATACTTGTCTAGAATTGTTAGCAGCACTTTGTCTCCTCTGTCTCACTTTTTGTCCCATTAATTTCACTTATTACCAAATATTTATCCCAAACTGGTTCGAATTTCTACTCTTCTCTAAGATTTCTCCAGCAGTGAATAAACTTGTCGAACACCAGACAACAACAAAGCTGAAAGATACAGCCGCACCTGAAAAGAATAATTGTTGGGGTTTTACATCCCAAAACCATGGTATAATTATGAGGGACACTGCAGTAAAGGGCTCCAGAAATTTTGGCAATCTGGTGTTTGTTAACGTGCACCTAAATCCAACTAAACGGGCCTCTGGCATTTCCACTCAATCGAAATGTGGTGGCCGTGGCCGAGATTCCATCTTCCCACCTACGGCTCAGCAGTTCAGGACCATAATTACTAGACCAGCATGGCACGTAAATGAGCATATGCCACAACACTTAAGTTACAACAAGTTGAGAAACCCTGAAAAGGTTGATGCTTACTAATTATTGACACATCAAAATTTTGAAAACGCATACTAATGCCACAGCTTCGGTCAAATCAGCTTGAGTCAACTGTCAGCAGCTTTTATTCTAAAAGCTGTTCCTTAGGAAAACAGCAAGCAGGATGACAGAAGTGTACACACCGTGGTTGGCTGAGTAAGTGCTGAAGTGCGACGGCACCGGCTCCCCAAGAATGTCCTCGAGGATGGGAACCACTAGGTACTTGGCTTCTTCGTAACAACGCCTCAGCTTGCCGACAGATGTCATCAGCTCCGTGTTGTCTTTGTGGTACAGCTGCACAGCAAGTATTTTTGCGCATTACAGTATAAAATGAAGCAGTAATGACAAGACCTATACAAAGCATAGGTTTTACACGAGTTGGCAACTGCAACTGTTTTACAAATGCACACATTTTCCTGCAAGCACAAAAATATCACATAAGCATCTCATAAACACAGACCTTGTGGCAAGGCCGTTACTTGACATGGGTCATTGGAACAGCCTTGCCGTAACTTGCAAGGTGCATTACATCCTTGCATCGGGAGATGCAGAATAGTTCAGATTGTGAAACCCATTTTTGTCCCTTAGAAGCATAAATGAATGAACTTTTTACCCTACATAAAAAAAAACACACTGACTTGCACAACTGTTTCACTTTAGTCATGCCAACACCCCAACTTCTTGCTAAATAAAAATTTACTAGAAGTTGTTAGGCCTGAACAAAATATAAGCCACACTCCAGCTTTAGAATGCGAAAAAAAAAAGCAACCAACTCACCTTAACTATACCGAGCAGAAAGGAGCCATTCGTACTGACAAGCATTATCTCAACATTTACAGTAGTTTGAGAAAACAGGCCAATCAGCTTTTATAATGTCATCTTTAGCAAGAAGAACAGCTTTATATTCTTTATTCCTGCAATAGTCACAGTTCAACTTGCAGGAAATGGTAACTAAAAAAAGGCCCCCTTCCTCTATGCACACATACAAAACCATGAGTGCTGCCAGATACTGTATACTCTTTCAATCAATATGTGAGGGTGGCCGAGAGAGGGCGTTACGTGACGGCGTCATCATCATCGGGACTTGGCCGAGAGAGGGCACTACGTGACGGCGTCATCATCATCATCATTGGGACTGGAGTGGTGGGGGTTGCGTGTGTGGGGAAGGGGGAGTTCGGGCTGGTTGGAAGGAGCGGCAAGACTGTAGCGGTGTGTGGTGTGCGAGTAGGGTTAGCGCGTGACAAGTGGGGGCCCGTCCGGGATGGCTTCAGGCCCGACAACAGCAGCGGACGACATGCCTAGGCTCCAGGGTCTCGTTGAAGAGCTGTTGCTGGGCACCGACAGCTCCGCCATGGAGCGCGAACGAATCGCGGCGGTCGTGCGCGATCGAGTGATGGCGACGCCGCTGCCCACGGCTCCGCACGTGGGAGCATGGACTGGGGCCGCTAACACTGGCGCGGTCCCTCGGGCCACCGACGACTCTGCGCCTCGGCTCGCCGGTGAACGTTTGGAAAACTTCTGCCTCGTGACGGGGGTCGCCGCCGATAAGCGACTGACACACGTGGTACCGGCTGCCCTCGAGGGTGGCGCGAAGTTGTGGTGGCGGTTCGTTCGCGGGTTCGACTCGTGGGAGCAATTCATCGCCGCCTTCCGCTCCGAGTTCTCGTCGATTGACGCGAAGCGTCGCCTGAAGGCGGAGCTCGAACAGCGCACGCAGCACCCGGAAGAAAATTTGAAAGAGTTTATATATGCGATCGCTACTTTTTACGACCGCATCGGGGAAGAGGTCTCCGAAGCCGAGAAGGTGCAGCGCGTACTGAGGCAGATGCACCCTCAGTTGCAAGATTTGGCGGAGGGGCATGCCTACAACGACCTCGCCGAGTTGGTGAAGGCAGCAGACGGCCTAATGGAGCGGGCTTGGCGTCGCCTCCAGTACAGACCACCGCCACTTCCGAGCAAGCAAGTAGCCAGAGATCTGGCGTTCCGCCCTAGCCAGGCCCCCGACCATCGCTCACTGCCGCAGCCGAACACTATGGCGACGGCGTCGTTCGCTTCGTTTGCTGCTGCCCCACCGGCACCGCCGACTTATCACTGGCCACTGCATCCAGCTGCGCTAGACCCGTCGTACTGCCGGGACCGACAGTACTCGTGCGACACAGCGCCTCCGTTCTCACCCTACGGGCCGGGACCGATGCCGCGGCAGGAGCCCGCGAGTGGAGCAATGCGTGTGCAGTGCCATCGCTGTGGTGGATTCGGCCACATATCTCGTAACTGTGCCACGGGTCGACGAATGGGGCCACCCGTTTGCTTCCGGTGCCAGCGATCGGGTCACCTGCAAGCACAGTGCCCGGGAAACCAGTGGCGGTAGGTGCTGCCCCGGCGGGCACCTACGGCAGTGCGCACCAAGTAGCGACCACAGCCGGTGGCAAAGAGCCCCTTATGGACGTCCGTATCGGGTCGTCGACATTCAAGGCCCTGCTAGATACAGGCTCAAGTGTAAGCTTCTTCGGACCACACGCCGCGGCGGCGGCCCAAGCTTCTGGAGCCAAACCCAAGGCAGACGTACGCGTGCTGCGTTTGGCATCAGGCTGGTCGCAGTCAACCATGTCTCTGAAGTGCCAGATCGAGTGGGCTGCCGGTTGCCGCAGACAGCAGTTTTTGTGTGTTCCTGACCTGTGCCGTGACGTTGTCCTTGGTAGGGATTTCTGACGGTGAGTGGCATCTCTCTGCACGTGTCACTTGGTGGGTGGACTGTCGGCACAGAACCACAAAGAATTGTGCCGTTTGTCAAGGCCGTTAGGGAACAGCCAGAGGCAGTGGACGATTTTGGAGACAGTCTGCGCTGCATTTTTGCTGAGAGCGATGCCACTGTGAGTGCCAGTGTGCCGGAGGCGACTGCAGCCTGCAATGTGATCATTTCCGGCCACTCGTCGGACCTAGACCCACGCATGAAACACATTTTAGAAGAGTTCAGCGAAATCTTCACCACAACGCCGGGCTGCACAACCCTGGCAGAGCATTGTATAGACACGGGAGACAACCCACCTGTTCGATGCAAACTGCGACCAGTGAATTCCAAGAAGCAGGCCATCATGGACAACTGCATTCAAGACCTGCTGGCACAGAACCTCATCCGCCCTAGCCAAAGTCAGCATGCCAGTGCTCCAGTCCTGGTTGAGAAGAAGTCCGGTGGCTACCGCATGGCTGTGGATTACCGCCAGCTAAATGCACGCACTAAGGTGCCAGTCTACCCCATGCCGAGGACTGATTGGTTGCTGGCACATTTTGATCTTTCACAGGGTTTTTTTTTCAAATCCCTGTTCAAGAGCAAGATATTCCAAAGACAGCGTTCATTTGCCATCGGGGAACCTTCGAGTTCATGAGAATGCCCTTTGGAGTTGCCGGAGGTCCTGCCACGTTTCAGACCCTGATGGACCGACTACTGGAGGGAATTAATCACCAGTTTGCCATGGCGTTTCTCGATGATGTCCTGGTGTTTTCGGAGACCCTAGAGGATCATCTTGAGCATGTTCGGGAGGTGTTGAAGCGGATAAGTTCGGCACAGCTGACCATTAACCCAGAGAAGGTGCACGTGTGCTGTCAATACCTTAAGTTCCTTGGCCATGAAATATCACCCGGGCAGTGTAGGCCAGACAAGGAAAAAGTGCGAGCGGTGCTGAAATATCCTCAACCAACAACACTCAAACAGCTGCAGGCCTTCCTGGGACTAGCAGGCTATTACAGAGGGTTCATACCTCAGTTTTCTATGACTGCACGTCCACTCACAGAACTCCTTAAGAAAAAGCAACGTTGGCGGTGGGAGCTGCAGCAAGAGGAAGCCTTTAAAGCACTTAAGCAGTCCCTGGCCGACGATGTTGTTGTAAACTTGCCGGATTTCAACAGACCATTCGTGGTGGAAACAGACGCCAGTGGAGTCGTCATTGCAGCGGTGCTTCTGCAGGCAGCCGAGAGTGATGCTCAACTGCGTCCAATAAGCTTCATTAGCAGGGTCCTCACTGAGGCAGAGCAGCGCTATACAGTGCAAGAATGGGAGTGTCTGGCTGTGGTGTGGGCAGTGGACAAGTTCCGACCATACCTTGAGTTCACCGAGTTTGAGGTACACTGTGATCACTCCTCACTATCCTGGATGTTCACCACAGACCAGGCCTCACCACGTGTAAAGCGTTGGGTTTTGCGGCTGCAAGGTTTCCACTGCAGAATCAAGCACAGGCGGGGTCTTGCAAATGTGCCAGCCGACGCCTTGAGCAGAGCTCCCCTTCAGCACCAGGAAGTTCCAAGCCGGAGTCTACACGAGACGCTGTTCCCTATGGCTGTTCCAGAGCCCAGCCCACAAATCAGCTTTGAGGCAGCTGCTGTAGCATCTGAAGTGGACGACACTACTGTCTTGAATGATGCAGGGCTCCTCGCCCAGGAACAAGAGCAGGACCCCATACTGTCAAAACTACGAACTGTGATGAAGGGAGGAAAGCTTCCGCCCACTGACAGTGATCAACCTTTGATAAAAGACCTGGCGGAGACGACCGAGATGGAAGAGAGTGGGTTGCTTGTACAGCACTGAGGGAACAGGAAAGTACCTTGGCTACCAAACCATCTCTGCAACTTGGTCCTGCGACTGTCCCATGACCACCCGATTAGCGGCCACTCCGGCTTTTTTAAGACCCTCAAACGCGTTTCTCAGAATTTCGTGTGGCTGGGTATGCGCTCGGACATATCCAAGTATGTGCGATGCTGCCAGGTTTGTCAGCGCACCCAAGCCCACCGGCAGAAGCCAGAAGGGCTGATGAGCAGTCAATGGGCCACTGCCCCTATGGAACAGCTCAGCGTGGACATAATTGGGCCCTTGCCTATGACGCCTCGACGCCACAAGTACCTTCTCGTGGTGATTGACAAGTTCACCAAGTTCATTGAACTTTTTCCATTGCGGGCAGCAAACAGCAAGAGTGTGGTGGCCTGCATGATCCAGGTTTTTTGCAAACATGGCACACCTGTCTCCATTTCAAGTGATATCGGAAAGCCGTTTGTAAGCAGGTTGTGGAAGGGCCTCCTTGAGCATTGGGGCATACAAGACCGACACACTGTTCCGTACCGCCCTGCCGGGCAAATGGTGGAGCGCCACAACGGCATTATCAAGCAGTGCCTTAGGGCTTATTGTTCCAACCACAAAGACTGGGACCAGCACATCCCTGAAATCGCCCTGGCCATGCGCACGGCTGAAAGCGTTGTCACGGGCTACACGCCTGCCTTCCTCTGTTATGGCCGGGAGCTGAGAACCCCATGGACACAGGCTGAGGCCAAAGACGACGCGGAGCCTCCTGCGACAGCATACCGTGCATTTGCTACTGAGGTCTCCAAGTGTCTGCAGGAGGTGCTTGACTTCTCCAGGACACACCAAAACCACATGTGGCGCGCTCAGAAGAGTCGCTACGACCAGCACAGGCGGCCACTGACAATACAGGAGGGTGATCTTGTTCTGCTCGAAAGCCACTCCCTCAGCGATGCCACCAAGGGCTTCTCCTCGAAGCTTGCACCCCGGCGTTCTGGTCCCTTTCGGGCAGTGAGACGTGTAGGACAGAATGACTTTGTTCTAGTGGACCCAAAAAGGGGCGTCGCCACGGTGTGAGACACGCAGATCAGCTGACACTGTACCATGACGCTGCAGGCGATGTGTAGTGGTGGCTTCACATTTTGAGGGGGGGGAGACCTGTGAGGGTGGCCGAGAGAGGGCGTTACGTGACGGCGTCATCATCATCGGGACTTGGCCGAGAGAGGGCACTACGTGACGGCGTCATCATCATCATTGGGACTGGAGTGGTGGGAGATGCGTGTGTGGGGAAGGGGGAGTTCGGGCTGGTTCGAAGGAGTGGCAAGACGTAGCGGTGTGTGGTGTGCGAGTAGGGTTAGCGCGTGACAAATAATGAAAAAAAAAAAAAAACAGTGCATTAGCTGCCTTCTTTGCAGTCAAATTTGGCATTTGGCTAATGCAAATCAGAAAAAAATTTATACAATCTGTAGTAACAAACCTCGGCATTGTCAAAAAGCAGATTAAAATCAGCTGCAAAAGTCTCCAAGTCCTTGTACTCCCCGGTAATAATGTTCTTCTCGATGTTGTTGAGGTCAATGGGTGTGTGAATTTTTTCAAAATAGCCTGGGCACCTGTTAAAAAATCGTACAAATCGGACATTACTATACGTTTTGCTACTTCAAACCAGAAGCAACACATTCACACACCTTTAAAAGCTTCATGTGACACACAAGCTCAATGTAGTAAGCAGTTTCTCCCTATTTCCTTTTTGTCCTTTATGCATTTATTAGGGTCATGTGAATACTTTAAATTTTGAATACTGATAGAATATTTTTCTTACAGAAGCAAATTCAATTAAAAAAATGCATAGCAGATTTTCTCAAATATTTGGCCACACCTGAATGTGAAGTTAGAAAGGCAAACATATAGACAAATTGAGACACTCAAACAAGGAGCAAATTACAAGTGCTATGCGTTCTAAATTTCGCTTTGAAATGTGGCTGCTACGTGCCCATTCTGAAACCTACTATGGTTAAAATGCAATTATGACAAATGCTCATCCGAGACAGCCTAAAGCCTGAAGCATTCACTGCTGTCACAGTGGCTCATCCAAAGTATCACAAGGGCAGTTTGAGCTTGGGCACAAGAGGCTAGTTTCTATCCACAGCTTAATTTTGCGCTACTGCTCTATTTTCTACATGCAGATTTTCAGTACCTACCTGTCAGCATATGTCCTCAAAATAGACCACAGTTATGTTCACCAAGGTTTATTCTGACTGAATGCACATGCGTACATCTCAAACAAGGTTTGTTTCATCAAAAGTTCACGAAAACAACTCACTTTCGTTTTGATGGCAGGTTAACAAATGGTGTTGAGAGCACCTTGCCATTCTCATCTGAAAACAATGCAAAAATGAGGCAACACATCAAACAGTTGCTTGCTTTAAATTGGAATACATCTGAACCGAACAATACTCAAGTGCCATTAAATTTAATTGCTATAGCCTATATCTGCTATAAGACGGGCCACACGTAAAAAAAAGCAATATATGGGAACGACAGACTGCAGTGAGAAAACTAAAATATCTGATAAGATATGCCAACAAACATGAGTGACAAGGGTGACAACGCTGGAGATTTTTTGGACAAGCTTGATAATTAGGACACTTTCATGTAACCGCCACAAGTCGCATAGAGCCCATATATGACAATGTCTGAAGCTTGGGATGCTTCAACTCCTACAAGTCTAAAATTTTTGAATGCGAAGCATTTCTTCACGTACTGTAAGCACTTTTGACGACTGCATAGTTACTGCATCATTACATTGCATTCATGACAGCACTGAGAATGGGTCATAGGCGCATCACATTTGTGCGACAGCGTCGCCTGCAAGCAATGCTTTGTACAACGGTGGCCACGCAGTTTTTTGCCTGTAAGTGCATCATTAGCAGGGCAATTTCTGTGATCAATGAAAACACATTTACTCCTTACCTTTGCAGGCCAGCACAGAGCTGCAGATATCTCGGAAGACCTGTGCCAGGCGTGCTGTGCGCGCCAGCTGTGTGTTCTCCTGTGCACGAGCCAGCTGTCGAGTGCGCACAGACCGTGATGTGTTGAGTGCAGTGAACTGGGTTCGAAAGGCCTCTTCTTCCCGCTCCTCTTCCTCTTCCGCCCCAGTGGTGGATGAAGCCACATTTGCACCCAGGCCAGCTGGGTGTACTGACTGCTTCTTCCCTCCGGTTGCTGCTAGCTCAGACCCGGTCCCATGTGACTGCCTGCACATGCGACCACAAGCGAGATTTGCACAATGCTTCTTGGGCATCATTTTGAGAAACATTCTCAAATGATAACTCCGAACAACCCATCTTTGTAAGGAACATACACAGACCTTCAAGTTGTGTTTGCCCAGTCACTGTTTGCGCCATCATCGTCAAACCATCTCAATAATGACACACGTGCATTCTTGTGGCTAATGATCCCCTGAACGATATCATGGGTATTTAATTAACCACTTTTTGAATGACCTTTGACATGCAGTTAGAACATTTTTAACAAAATAGATGGCAGCAGACAAGCCTAAAATCATAGCTTTTAATGAATGAGATTTTCCATGCTATTTTCTGTAATATTTCTGTATTGCTGCAATGTTATTAAAGCACCATGTCCATACAATAAGCCATTAAGGCTCTTTTGTGGGAAGAGGGAGAGCCCTCAAGTTATCAACTTATCAGCGTTGTACACTGGGCTGCCACTTTGTAGCAATGCCTTAGCTAAATTCTATGCTAGTCTTATTATCTACCATTCACGACCAGCTAATCCAGTTGACAACATGGGCAGGCTGTTGCTATGCGTTGTACACTGAGCTGCCACTTTGTAGCAATGCCTTAGCTAAATTCTATGCTAGTCTTATTATCTACCATTCACGACCAGCTAATCCAGTTGACAACATGAACATGGGCAGGCTGTTGCTATGATTTCTGCCACAGCGCAAAAAGCTTGAGAATGCATTGTCGCTGCAAAAAGCATTGCAACAAAGCAGCAGCCCTGGATCAGTGGCATTGGAACCTTGAAATAATTGACACAATGTAGCCGCTCACCGATCACGTGACGATTTTCGGGCACAAGATCGCTTGGCACGATCATAGTTGCGCAAAAGGAAGCAGCGGTGTTTTTGAACAAAGCAGCGTTGCTGGTGTGAGAGGGGCTTCAGTTGCAGCTGACTCAGCCGGGCTGCCATTGTAGTAGGCTCCGTGACCGTCGTGCAGCCTTCACCTTTGGTGCCCTGTTTGAAAACAAAAGGAAAGCTCATAAGCCGGGTATCTTGCCAGCAGCGTAAGTCCATAAATATCACAACAGGAAGATGGGGGCACCCACCCTGCCATGATGGCCATTTTGTTTTTTATAAATAAATGTTTTATTTTAAATATAAAACTAAAATCATGCTCTCAAAAATAATTAGGGGTGTGTGAATATTCGAAAGTTTCAAATATTCGTCAGATATTGCATTTGTAGTGTTCGTATTCGATTCAATAACCATATAGTCAAAAAGTTCAAATATTCAAAGTAACTCGAATATTCCAACTTTTGGTACAAGCGGTTGCATATGTTATTGTAAAGAACTCCAAATCTTTTGCCTTTACGATAAGTGCATCAGCAGTCTACTATGCACTGATTACTACAACTTCAGCGTAAGTATTTTGATGCCAGCACAGAAATACAGGGGAGCGTGATAATGGCTACCAAGAAGCGCGCCAGCAAGTCGTGACAAATCTACCAACAATAAACATTTTAATGAATCTAAATCATGAACTACCTGCTCGGCAGCATGTATGTCTTAGCGCTGTAACCGCTAGTGTAAACATACTGTAAGGATACGCCGTTCTCTGTCGCACCTATATGCACTGAACTGCTTCAATAAAGTGGGTATCGCTCATGGAAATGAAGGCAGCTTGCCGCCACCGCATTGGCCCGACAGAAGTACTAATCCCACCTCCGCATGGTCCGACGCTGAGCAAGCACGAAGAGAAAATGTTGCGGCGCAAGAGCAAATGCACGTGTAGGCATTTGTCTAAATGTAGCCATAGAAAAGATGCACTAAAGAAGCTTATTGCCTTACGAATTAACCGCCACCAAAATTTTTAGAATCTGTCCAGTATGAGCGGAGTCACAAAAGTTTGCCACATGCTGTAATTGCGTTCTCTCTCTCGTCCGACGAAAGCCCTTGAAGCAAAGCAGGGAGAGATGGCATAGGGAAAGAAATTACGTCACGTGTGTGTTCCGACCTTGAGCACTCTTTCTTTCTCTCTTTTTTTTTTTTTCTTGGATTACGCGGCCTTTCAGTGCGATCGCAAATGTACGCATCGACATGTCGTGGCCACCCACAGTGGCCCCAGTAACGACCGAGGCCCCCCATGCTGATATCATCTAATGGCTAGTACAATGGCTGTGACGAGCGATTTTTGACATTGTGGCGTCATTTTCTGAGAGAAGAGAGCAATTTTTACCTAAATTTGAGAATTTATTGTGAATTCTAGCTTGCGTGCTGCCCTATAATATTTCGCTTGCATGTTCTCAGTAGCCTCAACTACCGATTGGCAGCATTTGCTTAACATGCTCAAAAAGTGTAGCAGGACCCCTTTAAATTTGATGTCGAGCTTTGCAACAAAGCTAATTTCCCCTCGATAAGTGCTTTCATGGCTAGCACCGCTATACTGCAGAAACCAAAATTACAGGTGGTTACATGCGCTTTAGTATACACCTTTTTGTTCATGTCGAATACTTCAAAATATTCGATAATATAAATTCGAATCAAAGCGAATTCAAGTACTGTACTATTCGTACGTATTCGCACAAGCCTACTGACAACAATGAATAATGCCAGAAGCTATCAACATTGAAAGCAATGGTCATAGAAGTTTGCTTTTACATTTTCTCTATTCAATAGTCTATTTCTTCACTAAATAATGATGGTTTTACATACCAAACATTACATTTTTGTTATGTACCATCGTGTCATTGTCCACTTCAAGAGACACTTCAACTGCTTTTTCTCATGAGGACATTTCTACCAGTCCTGTGCAGCAAAAAATTACAATAGTTGTCTCTGCACAAGACCTGGAAAGCATTACAAAATGGTACAGCAGTTTATAGGGAATGACAAGACGTGCCTCTCTCTTTCGGCGCAGCTGGTGACGTGCCCGCTGCTGCTTGCGAACTGAACGACTTGAGGTGCCCTTGGTGCCTTCCTTGGTCTTATCCTTAGCCTGAGGATTGAGCCGCTGGCTTTTGCCTCCAATGAAGCCACGGCACTTGTCACTCCCGCACTTGCACTCTTGCTGCACAGTGAAGGACATGAAACAATAAGACTTCCATGACGACATGAAGTTCCTGAACATGACAAACATTCAGTTTACTAACACCCAACACCAGTGTGTAAATAAATTGTGCAAAAGTGTGTAAATAAATGTACTCAGTTTTTGTTTTGCCGTGGCTATATTTCGGGTGAAAACATTTTTTCTCACATTTACTATACGCAAAGTACACCTCGAACTCTATGCGGGTATGAACTACACTCAAACCTCGTTATAACAAAATTGCATCTTAGACAAAAATAACTTCGCTATATCTGAAAATTTGCTATAAAGGTTTATTCCTAACACCATACCTGTTAAAAGACTATTTTTCATTTGCTTCGTTATAACAGATATTTTGTTATATCCGGGTTCGTTATATTGTAGTTTGAGTGTACATGGGGGTTTTTACAATAGTTCTCGAATATGTCACATTATTTTTTTGCATGAATCACACTGAAATGCAATATTTTCCTTTAATTCCATTCTGTAAAGCAATTAAATGTCCTTTCTTACAATTGGTAGTACGAGTACTTAAGATTAATTGTACCAAGGACCTGCTACATCAACCAGCTTGTGTTCCAGAATGTCCCAGTGGTGATACAAATTGCACACTACATTTACCTTAATTTTTCCATTTATAAGGCACTGTTGTGCCTGATATTGACATTTTAGGCGTTTCCCACAAATGACCTTTCACTCTGACAGAAATGTTATTTGCCTTTAGGGTCCCTTCAAAAGACGTCGCTTCCATTTATGCTTTGAACTTCACTTACCAAAGTAAGGCAATAACTACAAACTTTTAAACTCTTACCTGGCGTTCATTGTTGAAGTTGTGGAAGTTGTAGTCATAGCAGATCTCGGTGTTGCCTGGAATATCCTTGAGGGCGAAAAGGCCAACACGATAGAAGCCATTCACAGACCTGGAAACAGAGAATGTATAGTGTTCACTTTCACTGTGCTTTTACATGCCAAAAGCACAATAGATTGCGAGGCACATCACAGTTGGGGAAAGCTCTAAGTTGATTTCAACCACATGGGGCTGTTTAATGTGCACGCGTGTTCTTTGCATGACAACCCGTCGAAATGTGCCCATCATGGCTAGGAATCCGTGCTCTCAAGCTCAGCAGCAATGAGCCCATCTGAATTTCCGGTTTGCACATTTTGCAGCAAACAAAAAATATTATTCAAATAAGAGTGGTGCTTTGGTATGGTGGCTCCTTTAAAGCATCACAGTTTCTTTACTCGTTTCACAATTTCATATCATTTTCGCCATTGATAATGGCAGTACAAAGTTTCTTTGCCACATTCCATTATTCTGGGCACTGGTAACATTGCTGCATGTTTACTTTTAACAGCAGTAGTTGAACCCTTGGCAGCTCCAAGCTTCATCGTTGTAGAGTTCAAACCACAATGCTGAATGTCAGTAACATCATGGCATCTTTTTACAGAATCACCAGTAGAGGTGACTCGCTTAAGGCCCTACCTGGTTGTGCTAGTGAAATGCCAACATTTACAAATGCCAATGAAAGCAGTTGATGCCTCAAAGAAGTCCACTTGTCAAAACATCGCCTCCAACCTTTCCTCGAATTTCTTATTAATCATAACGTCACTCACTTTCTGTTCTTGTTCAGGGTACGGCTACTTACTTGAGAACTTCTTTAACCTCCTCAGTCCCTGGGTACCCAATTGGGTATCGTTGTTTTAAAGGCTACAGAGCATCACAATTCGGTATCCACTTGTCCAAATTTGTCTTGGCACAATGAGGATGAGTTGCTCTCACGAAGCTCTGAGAAGTGGCACCATGTGTCTAGCCATATTCGCAAAAGGAGCGAACGAAAATGACTGAATACTGCACGAGCACTCGGCTGCGTCCTCGTGATAAGTGAAAGCTATTTTTCTTAGTTGTAGCATGAACGACAATGTCTATAAAACATTCGTTACCCTGTGGACGCCTTGTAGGTCATTTCAGAAGTCATTTCGATCTGATAATTTTGTTGCACTCGATCTTAGAGACTTCAAAAGATCAAGAGTGACGCAAATGGGTGCCATCACATATTGAGAAAACCATTCAAATTTTTTCAATTCATAATTTTTCTGCATTTGTTCTTAAGGGCAGGGAGTCAAATAATAAATTTTTTCAAAAGCTTTCCTCATAGGTGCATTTTTGGGACTGAGGAGGTTAACTACATACTTCTACCACTACTACAAAACTTTCCAGATGTGCTTGTCCTTAAAGCATGGAAGTACATATCCATCACAGGCCGCTGAGTGGCTACGCAGCAAATACATTTTGTGATTGAGTTCATAACCTACTTAGAGATGAAACTGCAAGTTACATTTGGAGAACAATTCTAAACATAAAAATTTCAGATTATTTGTAAAAATGCAGTAGCATGCACTGAATAGCTCAAAGAACTATAATGGCTATGCACAAAACAGAACAAACTTGTTCTTTTTTTCGTTCAAATCCCACCGACTTTCCAAAACTTAATCAAAACCAGTATAGCATTTACAATAAAGGTTCATCAATTCGACCCCCATTATTTTGAAAAATCGAATAATTTGGACTTGCTCCCAGTCCCTATTCGCATAAGCAGTGCCTATGGCACCAAACTTTCATTAAATTGGTCACATTCGGCCGCAGTCTGGTTAATGCGCTGACCACGAAGCGCTGCACATCTGTAACGCAAAGGAGAGACAAGAGCGTTCTCAGGCAACCAACATAAGGCGCCGCTGTCCACGTCACTATCTTCATCAGTTAGTGAGCACGGCTTAGTCCACATATGAATGCGGCACTCAGCAGCTTCAATTTCACTTGGTGCAATTTGCGTGCTATATCACAAAACTGAAACATGGCGAAAAGTGTTGAAGCTTCAAGCCAGGTTCGGCACGTTTGTATAAAACATTACTACAGAGCGATGGACAAACTATAAGTTGCCAACTATTTTATTGACAAAGAACTATCGTCACGTCCATGTGATGGTCGGGTGGTGGTGGCCGTACGCGTTATATGAGAGAGGCGCAGAGCTCGTTGTGGTAATTAGTAGGTATGTGAGTCTGGTGCCATAGTTGCATTTAGAACGAAATTGCAGGATGACGAAAATTGGGACTTTTACACTACTTTTATGCAAAATAAGTACAGGAGTTATATATTCATCAAGAGAGTGAACATGTATTATAGTAACAGAAATTTTTGTAAAAATTTTCCTGACACTTTCAATAATTTTCAACTAAGTTATATCAAGGCAATTTTTCCGGTCTCATGAAATCCAAAATTGATGAGTTTTTACTGCAAATGCTGCCAGCCTGAGGCAGCACTTCCCTACCATTTCTGCATCTCGCAGTTGGGGTCGCAGGCGTGATTGACAAATCGTCCCTCCCCAGCCATGCGATAACCGTCGATGACCATGCCCGAGTCCAGGTTGAGGCAGTAGTGGTGCTCGTCGTTGCGGTAGCGCTCAGCCATCCGGTGCCGAAACTCTTGCTCGCTCACTATTTCTCCCACATATTCGAGGATAAATTCACCTGCACGACGAAACCAAGGGCAACAATTACAGCCATGAGGAATGGCACCTCATCACTGTGCAAGACAACCTAAACCATAATCAAGAAAAAAAAAAGCACAAAGCTTTCAGTGAAATAGAAAGTGAGCGATGATTGATTGATATGTGGGGTTTAACGTCCCGAAACCACCATACGATTATGAGAGACGCCATAGTGGAGGGCTCCGGAAATTTCAACCACCTGAGGTTCTTCAACGTGAACCCAAATCTGAGCACACGGGCCTACAACATTTCCGCCTCCATTGGAAATGCAGCCGCCACAGCCCGGATTCGATCTCGCGACCTGCGAGTCAGCAGCCGAGTACCTTAGCTACTAGACCACTGCTGCGGGGCATAAAAAGTGACCGAGGTTCATGCTTTGGTTTGCACATTCTGCCTGCAGTGTCAACTGCTGAGACAAGAATGCAGGGTTACACTTGTGGCCCTGATGAGTGATTGTTTAAATGATGAAAGTATTGTAGGGAAACAGTGCGAAAGACCAGGACAGTAAAGGCACACAAACAACCACACGTAGCGCTGTTTGTTTTTTTTTTTACTGGCCTGGTCCTTCACACTGTTTCCCCAAGATATGTTCAACCAACTAGCCAACAAGTTGACCCTTCAGGCTTAAAGTAGGAGTGTGCGAATAGTAAATTCAAAACGAATTTGAATAATATATATTATATATTGTATAGAAATATCAGCATATATAAGCTTTACAACATTTTTTTTCAACTCAAACTAGGCATGAGCAAAAATTATTCTTTTCGGTTAAAAAGAAAGTGGAAGCCACTATGAATAGTCGCAAGATTTGCCTTTCCATAGAATGCAAGTGATAACCTGTAAAATACATTACTCTTTAATATTTATTATATTTACACCATGTAAGCCAGTATGACAAGCTTTTAAGCTTAAAAAAATATGAATCGAGGAGAGGGTAATATGTCCATCACCTTTTAAAGTGAGGCTTCTTGGCAGTGCAGATTTTCCCTGGGTATGTGTATTCACGGCGTAGCACCCCTTCATTACGGTGAAACCACTTTTACAGGAGGGTTACGTGCAGGCATATTTACATTTGTTCATTTCAAATACCTTCAAATTTCAAATAATTTAAATGCAAATTGAAGCAAATCAGAATACTGTAAATTCGTTTGAACATTCGCTCAAGTCTACATAAAAGGTTACATTCTGATCATAAGCATAGAACCCTCAACACATTTTTCTTAATACATATAGAAACAAAGAAAACCATATATTATACTACCATCTGCAACACACCTACAAAATAACGACTGCAACACTGAACGTTACTTTTTTCTTTCATGGTGGTAGCATCCATGAGACGAAATTATGAAGTCATGGGGGTTGAAGCCTGTGAAAATGAAGTCAGTTTGCTGAAAAAAATTCTCCACAATCGATGATACATTGCGGATTGAGCTGCACGACAGCTCATAAATGAAGCAAAGTCAAGCAAGAACAGACTCTGAAGTGAAAAAATGACCTTAAGAATGATTTCAAGCTTGTAGCTGCTAAATAGCACTAGTATGGTTTGTGGCCAAAGATGTTTGCTTTTCAGCTGTTTTCGTACATTAAACTCATTAACCTTAAAAACGTCTTTTTTTATTACTGAGGTATCACTATTTTCTATATATTCTAAAATAACTGTTTGATCACCTTTCCCTGAATTCAGCATAAATGCATACTATTGTACCAAAATCACAATTATGCACTCGACAGTTTTTGAGTAGCACATTTTCAAACATGCAAAGTAAGTGTAAATTTCGTTCCTAAAGATAAAAAATTCTACTGTTATTGCAATATTAGTTAGAATTTAATTAATGTGATGGTGTTAAAAGAGCAGAAAATTTGGAAGAAAGTGCTAAAAGTATTATGGGAATACCCTTTTTTGTCACAGCAAGAATGCCTTCTCAAAATCGTTGCAAATGCATGGGATGTATAGGGCTTACCCTGTGCCTTCATAGTGGTCCTCATGTGCAAGTTATATAAAAAACTGTTATTTAACACTACAAACAGATAATGAACTGTCACTGTAGCACCATACCATTGCAACTATGAAAGTCGGACAATTTCATCCATGTGATAGCTGAAAACTACTGCAGAAGTAGCAAAAAGATTGCACGTCAATATCGGAAAGATCATGTGTGAGCTCCATGGGCATTGTAAAAAGCCTTGCTGAATTTCTATGATTTGCAAAAGTAAATGTTGATTTGGGAATTAAAGCGAGGTCTCACTTACCCGGCCTTGATCGACTCCCGAGTTCGGATTCCCCAACCTCGGTCACGGGTCATGAAGCGCTCCAGACCTGGGCTCCAATCGTGCTTCTGAATCTTCTGGTTCCCACATTGATCGCCACAAGGGCACAGCGTTGGAGAGCACTCCACGTACATCATCCTGTATGCACATAGAGCACAGTTTCATACACTTGTCCTGAATATAATACTTGCAGTGGGTAGTTGCATCGCAGCACGCAATGCTCCCGCATGGAAGCCTCAACATTACAGTTTTTCAGAATCAAATACCATTTTTCAAGTTCCACAGAAGGGATGGATGGATGCGAAACTTTATTTAAAGTTTCGCAACGAAAAAAAAATTCTTTCACTACCCATCCGCAAACCTGCATTTTCCATGCAATAATTCAGACTTACAATGTGGGCAATACACTGCAAGTTGCTTCTATTCTTATGCACACATGTGGATGGCTAACCAGAGCAGTAGCATAAGCAAAATAGATGCAAGTGTAACCATCAGGGCCAGATGAAAGTTGACTAAGAAACAAAGTGTCATCGTAGGCCACATAATGCACAGTGAAAGCTCATTCAATCTAAAAATTGGGTGGCTCATGTTCTTTTATCCTAACAAGCGTATGCATTGTTTAATTGAATCAAACCATTGTTACTGTGATCATATTTGGCTGCAGCCAGATTAATTTGCATGATCCTCGCAGTGTAACAAGCGCGAACACTGCAAATGTGCAAAATCGGGAAAGTCGTTCCGCTCCGTAAATCTGGTAATAAACACTCTTCGAACAATTACCGTCCCATTTCTTTAACTAGTATTCATTGTAAGATGCTCAAGCATATAATATTTACAAACATAGTAAATTTTTTAGAATCAAATTCATTTTTCACATCAGCACAACATGGCTTCCGTAAAACACATTCATGTGAAACACAGCTAATATCATTCACTCATCACTTACATCAGATCCTTGATAAATCATTCGATGCCGACTGTATTTTTCCAGATTTCTCCCAAGCTTTTGACAAGGTTTGCCATAGACTGCTACTTTACAAACTGCACCAACTAAATGTTAATGGTAACCAACTAATGCGGATTGAATGCTTTCTAACAGATCACAATTTGTTACTGCAAACAGTCATAATTCTTTTTTTCGCGAAGTTTATTCTGGCGTTCCGCAAGGGTCCGTCTTAGGCCCCCTGTTGTTCCTCATTCATATTGATAACCTGTCATCAGTTGTATCATCTAACACTCATCTATTTGCTAACAACTGTGTTATTTTTTGAGAAATTACTAGCTATAATGATATTAATATATTGCAGTCTGACCTTAATGCTATATTAAACTGGTGTGAAAATGACTAATGACCTAAACATTAAAAAGTGTAAAATCATGCATGTATCAAGAACTTGCACTATTTCACCTGCTTACTATCTTAATAACATTCCTTTGGGTTCTGTTAACTGTTTTAAGTATCTTGGAATTCACATAACAACTAACCTCAACTGGTCACCTCATGTTGAATACATTATTAACAATGCTAACAGCATGCTTGGCTATTTACGATGTAACTTTTTTAACGCTCCACATGGCTTAAAGCTACAGCTTTGTAAAACACTAATACCCTATATATATATATAGATTACAGACATGTGGGACCCCGCCTATATTAATCTGGGAACTTCCCTTAAACTTGTTCAGAATAAGTCCGTTCATTTTATATTGCCTAATTATAACAGAACCGCGAGCATTTCAACCATGAGAACTTCCCTTGCACTCCCTTCTTTAACATCTCGCAGTAAAGTCTCTCGTTTAACACTATTTCACAAGATATACCATCATCCCATCTTGCATGACTAACTACTACTTTGCCCACAGCACACATTCCGCCCTATTGACCACCACCACAAAATAGGCATCACAACACAAAAACTTTCTTCAATTCATTTTTGCCTCGCACATTAAAGGAGTGGAACAGACTTCCAGGTGACATCATCACTATTAACGATACCAACTTTTTGCGTGATGGATTAGCTGACATTATGTAATAAATTACTTTTCTTGATAGCTAACATTGTATAATTGTGTTCGGTGTTGTATTACCCTAACATGTATTATTACATAGTGTATTAGCAGACATTGTACTTTTAAAGAGATTTCTTTGTATGATCTAACAGTACTCACTGCTTTTTTGTTATTTAAATCTTTTTTTGTAAATAACCCACACCCCTCTGTAATGCCATTTGGCCCTGAGGGTAAAATAAATAAATAAATAAATAAATAAAATGTATTACACAAAGAGTGAGAATGGTGCTCGCAGTCGACCGAAACACTATGGCAATCTGTAACTTTATCTGTGTGATCTTCATAGTAAAAACTCCCAAGCATTTCTCCGAGGGTGAACATGGTTAAGTGCGAATACACGGGGTGATGCTATGAGGTGTATTTATTAATTCGCACTATTATATATATTAATCACACTATGGTGCCTTTATGGTGTAATGGTTCCTGGGAATCGCAATTTGATCACACGGGGGAGTTTACGTTAACTCACTGGCGAATGCCAACGGATTTTAACTTTACTCCCCCCTCACGACCCGCTCTCGACGGGAGACTGAGAGAGAAGGCGGGCGCGCGAGAGAGAGAGGTGCGCGCGCAGCTGCAGCGAGCGAGGAGAGCGGAGGAGCAAGCGAAGGGGGAGGGGGTATAAGGCGCGTTACTGACACCGATATTAGCGTCGCGCTGCAGCCCGCCAAGTCCTCTTTCTTTTAAAGATAGAGAGAAGACTGCGGACGCCGCCGACGGCGGTGGATGGTTTGGGGTCGCTTGTAAAGTGTATTCACACTTAAAACAATATGGCAATCTGTAACCTTATCTGTGTGAACTTCATGGTAACGACAGGAAAGCCAGAATGTTTCGAGCCTATTAACGCTAACCACAGCATGTGACACTGGGTTAGCCCTGGGTCTTCATGAAGGTGTGGTAGCCATCCGCAATTACATTGCTGGCAAACATGGCTGCAATTCTAGCAGCAAACTTGTCTGAATTTTACTCAGCGTGCATAACTTATGTGAGCACTATCCGTGATCATATCAATAGCAACCGCAGTCTCTTCTCCAGAGGCTGCAGCAAGCAGCAGTTCTGTGCCTACCGAGTGCCTTCAGAAAATGCGTAGCAGCTAAGCAACCCATGATTGTGCATTAGTGAGTCAGTGCTTCGTAGCTCCTCTTACATTCTATGCACGTAAGCTGCACACAATTCTTTAGAAAAGCATGAACGCTGTAATCATCCCTAGTAGTCAAGTTTTCGACCACAGCTAATTAGAGCTTTGTTACAACTTGTGTGCACAGGCCTAGCGGATGCTTTCAGAACTGAGGGGGACACAGCCCATTAGCATCCATGGTTTCGCCCACAGCAAGTGTAATAAGCAAACAAACCTTCGGTTATAGGAATTACGATTGCATACTATGGCGCTTAAAAAAAAATCCACGGAGTCGCAGACATAGCAGCTTGTATAAGCCTTCTGCTGTCGGTCGGAAAAGAGCATAAGGCAGGAAGTAAGCTTTTGTAAAAGCTTTTGCAAGCACCAAGTAGTATCTGTAACCACTGTATATTGGTGATTGAATTGGAAATGTAATATACAGCGTCACATTACCTGTTCAGGCAGTCTGCACCACAGCCCTTGTCCACTTTGGTCTTCGGTCGGCTACAGTTACAGCTCTGGACTTCATATTTGGACACCGGTTTAACGTCAACGTACACATCTGTGCGAGCAAGTGAAAAGATTGGCAGCTCAAGTACAGCGACGTTCACTAATACTATAACTTACGATGATTATCAAAATGTTGCAAAAAAGATCCTAGATTGTTCAAAAAGTGGAGCTCACTTCAAATACTTACATGTGCTTTTCTATGCACACAAAAAAGTCCAAAGAACCATTATTTTATGGTCATTGATCCTTCATATTTAAACCAAAAAAAACTACAAAAATGCACGCGACGCATTTTAGAGAGTGACACTTGCAAAAGCGATGCATGTAAAGTAATGCCCATAAAAACACTTACTTGATTTAATCCGTTTGTAGTTGTTGACTGGATCGTAGCTATAAAGAAGCTGCAATGAAAAATGTGTACCAATGAAAGATTACGAAAAACCAGAAAAAGAAAGATACTTGTGTCACAATTTCAATATATAGAATCAATTTTAACTCATGCACTGCAGGAATTTTACATGGAGGGTCTCCTGTAAGACTTTTTAAAATGGTCACAAAGCACACTAAATATTAAGGGACACTTGTCCACGTTTCATGGTAGAAAACAGTGCAAAAAACAAGATAGACACAGCGCTTGTTCTCTTCTCTTTTTCCTCTGTGTCAGTCTTGTTTTCCGTGCCGTTTGCTACAATGAATCTACACCCAGCTATCCACGCTTGTTAAGATGTCTTTTCAGAACAAAAAACTTCCGGCGCATGTTGTATCATCACAAGAATACAAGCAGTAAAATTTATAGAACACTGTAAACAAGACTGCCGATAGCTTAAGTTGACCACACTGCCTTCTTTGTTTGTATACGTATTTTACCATTAGCCCTGAGAGCATGCATTATGATGAAGCTGTCAAGTACATAAGGCTCACCCCGCTATGAAGTGCTTGAAAGAGTGTTTTGTTCATAATCGTCATGGTCCGAAAGTGTTTTCAATGTGTTTATACCAATTTACTAGCATTTCACAAACCATGATAGCGTGACTACTAGCTGCAGCTTTATTGATGAGTTTGTGTTCTTTATGCTAATACTAGCATGCAGCGATGAAGCGCACATTACAGTTAGCATCCCTTTGATTATGTTTGTGTAATCTTGGGAGCGTTTGCCAGTGCGAGCGGCACTGGCCAGCACTTCTAGAATAACACGTATGTAAATACTCAATAAACCGTATGGATATTTCGCAAAGAGTGTGCCACAAATTCACACATTCGGTTGGCCTCAAACATAGATCTGATGACACATGAAGTTCTTTACAATGAAAAAAATAGGTGTCTTTATTAGCATTAATGAAAAATTATGGCAAAGAGTTCTCGAAATGAACTTCAGGGCTTCAAGCGAGCCACAGCTGGGTGAAAAGCGTTGTGTACACTGACCTGCTTGTTCTTGTGCAGCCACCAAATGTCATAAGAAAGCTGGAAGTCGGCTCGCTTCTGGCGCAGGTACTTGCCAGCGTGGATGGGCGATGGCATTAGGCCCACACACCTCTCCTCCTCCATAGGCACCGTGTGGCCACCTTCTTCTTCTTCCTCCGTGTTAGTTTCACTGAACAAGAAAAGTCTCTCAGAAAATGCATCACTCATCATGCAGTATCACTCTGCCTCACGAAGAGTAGCAGAGAGGGGCAAGAATTCACACGCTGCATAGCAGCCCTCATTGAAATTGAATGTGCAGAGGTGTGCAAATACTCAAAAGTTTTGAATAACGAACCGAATAGGGCATATTACGAGTACCCAATATGTACTTTTCGAATATCTTTCATATAATAAACGCCAATAAAAAAAACTTCAAAGGAACAAGACTTTGAAACAGAGTGAGGTAACGTTTCTTCTTTCATTCATCTTATTACCTGGGTACATGTAGGCCAAGACCTTACTGGGCCATCAACTCTAAATTGACTACAAGAAGAAGGCACTTCTGCTTTACACCAGCGTTGTCGAAGCGACAGTCATCAATCCACTATCTCCAGAATGATATTCATGATGTTATTGACTCATGGATTTTGTTCAATATTGCCCGAGACAATATTTTGGATCAGCTTCATTGAAAGGGTGTTGACAAAGTCCACCAGCGTGACATCAGAAATGTCGCTCTTTTTGCATATTGAAAATTGCTGGCCAGTTTCAAACATTGCCAAGTAAATCATAAAACCATGGTGCTCCTTTACTGCCTTGGGCCCTGACTGGCCTCATCACATATGCTAACATGCAATAGACAACAATGAAAGTTGGCATCTGGCATGGCAAACCAGATCCATATCTCTACGCAGAAGACAAGCGGTCCCTTAGGCTTGGTCGTGGAGATCAGAAGGCTCAAGCGGCCTATTTTTCGCTCCCTTGTACACCGAACAGCCATATTACACATCTTAGTACATAAAAGAAAACAAGATGGCATGTGGCATTGCAACCAAGATCCATATCTTCACGCCACAAACAAGCGGCCACATAGGCTTGGCATCAGATATTGAGTGGCCACAAGCAATTTCGGAAGTTAGATCATGCGTGATTCCTTTACACTGTCTGTGACATGGTAGCACATGCTGAAGGCCTCACCACAAATATATCAAAGGCAACAAAAAAAGTGCCATGTAAAGTGCAGCAGTTGATGAACTATCGAAGAAATCTGGAAGCACAGATGCTAGTTTATGCATGGGCGTCCCACACACACATCCTGAGCCTAGCCAGAGATGGCAAAGTCCCTTGAGACAAAGAGTGTAATTCTTATGAAAGCAGTACCAGAGAGGCTCTGTTTTGATGGTGGCGGCCACCATTTCCTCTGGGGGCACAGTGCAGGTGGTGGTTAGGTGGAAGCCGTCGGGTGAGGGTGCCCAACACAGTACAGCACTGAGGGCAGCACACACAGCACCCAAGCAGCAGCAGCAGCGGTGGCATCAGCAGTAATGATGAAAGGGAGAGGACAGGAGGAAGAGAAAGCAGAGCGTAGTGACAGGGTGCAGGGGCAAGACAAATGCAGAATTGAAGCCCTCATGGGAACAAACGACTTTTTATCATGAGCCCTACCCTGTCTATTCGCAATTAGGTCAAAGTTGAACTTATTTAACTGCATCGTGCAAAGCTCTATGCCAGCCTTTGACTGAACATGATACTGCATTTTACTGTGTTTTGCTGCGTTTCAATGTATCTGCCAAGTAATTATTACAATCAACAGGAGAAATACACCACCACTGCAGTACATACAAGAAAATGCCACCTGATTAGAAAGTCTATCTCATAAATCATGCACTTCTGTTAACACACAATATCTACATCAACAAGGTGGCACTGTCCATTTTGTTGAGGTAGGATTAATTATTGAATGCAGGCACATTCAAGAATAGGGTGATCAGACCGTAGCCGTGTGGCAGTTTTACATGTTATAAAAAACTACTGCAACACAGCAGATGTCCAGAGAACGTGCAGAAAAGCAGTGCAATGAGACCTTGCATCGTGAGTTAGTTATGATAGTTTGCAAAACTTCGAACAGTCAAGACACACCTAAAGCATACACTGAACAAGTAGTAGACATTAGAATTCTTGCAGGGGACATATCCTTGCTGAGATGCAAAGACAACAATTTAATTATAAAGTCCCAGTTGATTGTACCAGCTTGTCCCTTGCATGATGAATGCACTTCACTTTTGTGACTACTATTTATTTTAAAATAATGTGCAGACTAAAACTTTGTTAAAAAAACCTTGAAAGAGATTTTGCAACTATTAAAAACACTGGTCCAAGGCACACATGATAAACGAATGCCCCTGAGCTCGCTAATCTTCATCCAAACACTCAAGCAAATAGCTTGCAGAGATTTTTCCTAAATGCCGTGTCACCTTCTGCAAATAATAACAGTGTGCTTGGATAGTCCTCAAACTGATAGTTTATTGGCTCAATCGTCAAGCAGGAGCTGCTACATAGGTCATTTGAAAGGCTGTGGAGTCATAGTCTACCGAGTCGACAAAGCACCCTACAACTCTATCGAAACTTAAATGGTCACTAAGCGACGGGAACCAAAACAGTGCGAACATGCCCTCTCATTCACAGTGTGCTCGTACTGACAATTGGGAAAAGAAATTTAACCAGTATGCTTTAAAAACAGCATATTTGAATGTTATGAATTAGTGAATGAAGTATTTTCACCACTTGAAATGTGCGAACTTCAGACACTCTCGGTAACAGTGATGTGCATGATGTCTTTCCGTATATTTCTCACATTTCACTGCTCAACAACTTAAAACAAAATACCTATTCAAAGCCATGCATAAAAAATTTATTAACATTTTAAAACACAAACAACACACATTCGTGCTTTTAAGAAGTTTTGTATAGTCCAACTTTTGCTGACATGAATACGAAAATAACAATTTGTAGCTCCCAACAATTTTTTTGCAAGGAACTCCTGAACCACTGAATGGCTGTTCAAAACTACCACGTAGCAGCGCCACAACTCTAGAATGTCGATGTAGTTGTGGCGCTTCGCTGGCCATTGAATTGATGGCTTTCAAAAGTGTCATGTGACACAGGTATGACAACTCTACAAAGTTGATGTAGTTGTGGCGCTTCGCTGGCCATTGAATTGATGGCCTTTCAAAAGTGTCATGCGCCACAGGTATGCCATTTAGCCAACTCATAGTCATACTAGCCCCAGCACAGTCAAGAAAAATCAGCATGATCTGCAATAAAAAAGATCTCCTTAAAGAATTTGATCAACAAGTTCAAGGCTCCCTTCGTTCATAAAATTGTTTAAGATGACTTATTGGCACCTAGTAGGCACCCTACACTGATGCCATAAATTAAGGTGTTGGCAGACGAATCATCTGAATGAGATGCTTTATGGGTCTCGTCACTACTAGTCCACTGCAGGACAGGTCTTTTCAAATTAGGTTCTGTGGAAAGTGGTGGTTCCATTAAAGGTGTTTTTGGGTTCAGCGAGCAGTCAGAAGAAATGCAACCTAATCCTGCTCTACTACCTTTAACACACATCTTATTGCTTTTGATGAGAAAATCTCCACTGAATTTTTTATTTAACAAAGCCATTGCATGCCACATCTGCACATAGCACAGCCAGAGACCTACGAAGCAGCTGCATTAGGATTTGCCATCATAATGCGCACTCTGAAATGCGAGCAATTTGTGGACCCACAGAGGCCACTCATTCTGTGCTTTCAATTCTTGCTCACGAGTGTAGTGTGAGACACATGCTCAACAATCAAACCAGAAAAGCCGTCTGTCTGCCTGGTCATGAACTCTTGTTATCAGGATTAGGTTGCATAGGAGCACACAAGCCTGCAGCATTTTCACCTCCTTCAAAAATGCACCCGCCGCAGCCGGGATTTGATCCCGCGACCTGCCAGTCACACATTCACCAGTGATGACTAGATGCATTATCGATAAGGCCCCACCCCTCGACATTACCCAGTCGGAAAAAGTGGGGAGGTTCACTGGAGCTCTGTAGAAGCTGTTGGATTTCCTCAAAATGGTTGATTGGGCGAGTTGGTGATTCATAATGGTTTGAAATGTTAGCGCGATTTGTAGACAGAGACAGGAAAGACACAGACAAGCACTTGTCAGTGTCTTTCCTGTCCTTGTCCATGTATTGCGCTTCTATTTCTCTACACAACCATTACCTCAAAGCCAGAAAGTTTCAGTACCCCAGGCATAGGATAACCGCAGCAAGCAATGGCTGTTCAATTGGGAACTCCTCTGAATATGCCAACATTGTCAGTGGGGCTTTGATAGTGAAAGCCTCTAACAAGGATTTTAGCTTTTCAACAGCCTTTCCCAAAGCCAAATTATCAGAATAGCACTAATCAGGCCACCAGAATACCTATAATATGTTGACTAGGTATATTTATGGCACCTGAATTTCCAGTCACGTGAGCACGTAGAACAGACAACCAGTGCTCAGCAAGAGCAACATAATGGCTGCCAACAGATAGGAAATTCTGGCGACGAGTGCAATGAGTCAGATGGAGCAACCAAATTCAGAGGTCCACAGTAAACCATCGAAACAAGCTCACACGAGGTAGGGCAAGTTGAGGATAATTGGAAGAGACACTTATGCTGTAGTGGACAGAGCAACGGCTGAGAATGATGATGACGATGGATTTATCACCACAGAGGACACATGAAAGCAATTGGGACGAGAGATTTTGTTTACTGATTGCATGGTTTTACTATGTGCGAATTCATCAGGTGTGACTGCACAGTTCCACCACTTTGTACTGCTCTTCAGTTTACTCACTGTACTTCACTCATTGATTTTTTTTTTTTTTTGCCCAAACTACACAAAAGTGCAGTACAAACAGGATTGTAGCTGAAGCATGTCCAATGCTACAGCTTTCTTGAATTACTGTGCTCTGGTTTCAGAAAACACCATGCTTCATACATGCGTACAACATAATTCATGTCTGCTTCGGTCTGTCACAGTAGGCACAAGAATTTCAGGGATCTGATTAGATGATGACATTTCCCTGGCACAAAATCTCAAATCACAAAGCTGCATAAAATAGGGGCAGCAGGACATGACCAAGATTCTGGCCATAATCAGAAGTAAAACTGGAGCAATGCATCGTGTTAAATACAATCACACTCACAAAACAACCATGTTTGAACACCACTATTATAGTAACATGTGGAAGCATAGAAATTCAGAACATGATTTACAGGGGAAACCTACTTCAGATTTAGCGAGCTCAGCTGTTCTGGTAGTGAAGTCTCTGTACTTGCAACTTCCCCACCATCCTTGGACAAACTCCTGCAATGAAGTAAACAAGACAACAGCATCTCTTTAATGTAAATGCCATTAGGCATCGGCTTGTTCCAGATGACTAACAAGTTCTGACACTGTATGGTCTTGGTTAGCAACTTAAACAATAATAATCACAGCAGCTAAAAAAGAGCATGGGAGCTAGCAAATTCGTTCAAGCAAATTTCAGCAAATACAACTTTAAACTGGCTTTTCCTGGCTTCATAAACAAGAACGTTAAAAAAAGGCTCGCAAGGAGGGAAGTCCAACAGTCACTTTTTCTACCCAACAACACCTGCACTTATTTATTGTTATTTGTCTGCACATCATACAGATTACTATAATAGGCTTTTTTCTAAAAGTTGTAATTAGGGCAACATATACAAGATATTTCAAACTTTTTTGTGTGCTCGCTGGAATGTTAAAAAATAAACCAATAGCTTTAAAACCCTGAATGGGCCTTAGAGAATACTGTTATGTGAAATTCTTCACAAATGAATGTCCCATTATTTATTAATTATGAAATGACAATGAGAGCCTACCAAGAGTTCTATGTCAAAAAACTACAAAAAATAGCTCACAACCGATTTCAGTTTTGATATCAGCATAACCAATTATACCTGCATGACAAATTTCATCACTAAGTCCTCAACAACAACACAAACAAAAATTTTGAGACTCTTAAGCTTGTGGGGGTGCTGACACTCCCTGTAAAGTTGTTTGCGCTGCATGACGCACGTCTTGCCCAAAAGCCGCATTTCGGGTTACAACTACCAGGTGGTAGGTGGCGTTGTGTTCGCGAGCGTTGATCACCACAATCATCATCATGGTATAGCGCCGGCGACAAATAGCCTTGGTAGCGGCGAGCGAGAAATAAGCTGGTCTCTTCTGCACGTGGCGGTTGCCGCGAACGGTTGTCTCTAGCGTGGGTTCCCGGTGCGTGGCACCACGGGTTTTGGTCGGGGGCCCTTGTGGGAAGTCAAGCGTTGGCGATGCCGCCATGGGTGTGTTATTGTGTTTGTCACGTTTTGGAGTGTATGGTAATATTGTGTAAGAATGTCCTAGTGTGTTCATCATGATTTATGTTATAATCATTCGGCAGATAATATCCTCGTTCAAAAAGTAGTTAAATAAATGTATGTTGTGGTTTGGTTTGGACCGACTGTGTCTACTTTGTCCGTTCATTCCAAGAGCAAGGTGGTGGCGCTCGCCAATTCGATACCCCACAAGCTTCGCCTGTCGAGCGCAATAGCAATATTCTGCCCCTAATGCATACTTCAACCACTTAGTGCATAGTTTTGACTGCACAATGTTACTTGATATGTTTGGATTATGGAATACTACAAGGTAATTGATAAAGTTGAAAGTAGCTTGTGTAAGCTTTGGAATATGGCTGCATTCTGCATAACGGGTAACGTTTTAAACCACGAGCAATCAGGCACATTACATCTTTTTCAACTTGCTATGCACCCACTACCTGTGTGCTTTAAACTATAAAGTCGTTGTGATAATCATGCGTTCTGACGCCCGATAAAAATGCACCCTTGTACCACGCAATATTAACACGATATTGCATGTTTTATTGTGAAGCCTGTATACAGGGCATGTGTGTTTGTAAAGCCTACAACATTTCCAAGCAGAGGAAGTTATTTTAATTGTATTTCCAATCAGAGGCATGGTTATGTGGTACCGCGAACGGCTGGGGTTCGATCCTCACTTGAACCCGGAATTTTTTGTTTATTTTATTTGAATTATTTGTGATTTTTTGGTCACACACAAGATGATGATTTTTCGCTCACAACCATCGACTCCCACATCGACACCGAAATTTCTATAAAACGAGCTCTTCACTGCTATCGCGTTAATAGTTTCCCCTGTCATGCCCCCTCCAAAAAAGCCTCTTACCATGCAGCATAAGAAATTTTAATTAGACATTGGAAGATGTGAGCTCTATAAAGAGCATTATGCCACAAGAATTTTTCAAACTGGTTCATTTCAAGTTGAGAAAATAAATATTTTGAGGTGGAGCAAAACCATGATGTAGGGAGGTGAGCGTGAAACACTTGCCATTTGCCCAGTGTGGTTTTTCAAACCAAATCCCTTCTTTGCCCTCCTCGGCATCAGAGCCGGAGGATCACATAACGCATGCGCATGAGCATGTCATGAGCATACAAGGTCACGCGTGCATTGATTTATCAATTCAAGCAACAGATACACAAACGAATGACACATCACTTCGAATAATTCTTGCAGTGTCCCGTAAGTGCTACTGTGGGTGACGTCAGAGCAACATTGTCTATGTAGAGATGATTGGTTGATTTATATGTGAGGTTTAACATCCCAAAACCACCAAATGATTATGAGAGACGCCGTGGTGGAGGGCTCCGTAAATTTCGACCACCTGTGGTTTTTAACGTGCACCCAAATCTGAGCACATGGACATACAATTTCTATGTAGAGAGAGTCACGTCAAAGCAGAGATAACTACTTCGGGCCATTCCTTCTTGTATGTTCTCCCCTCCTATTTAATATTAAAGCAGCAAATTTACTGGATGGTGTATTCGTAAGCATGACTTCTCTGACACTTACTAGAAAATAGCAAAGGTTCCTCGTTGCAAATCGTTAGATGAACAAGCAGTTGTGACAGAGCTGTCAACATGTACATGTGGTTTTAGGTTTTTTCATTTTTGTGTGTATGTAAATATATTTTGTACACTTCGGAAAATAAAGGTAGTTGTAAGTCAGTGCATCTGTCTGTCGCCTTCATATTTTTTTGTCTTTTCACACAGTTATTCCTTCGCTGTGATTTAGAACAAACTAGCCCCCCCCCCAACAAGCATTAGCACAGATGGTGCTGTTGAAGAGCCCAGAACTGAAAACAACCACACAAATTATCACCAGAAAGAAGAAGTCATATACTCACCCATCTTCTTTGAAGCAGCTTGAATAAAGACCTGCTTTCAAGTACTTCTTCTTTGGCAGCTGGTGTTCACGTCTTCTCCGCCGCCGGGTCCGATGTGTACCATCATCAGTCGAAGGCTTTGTTACTGTCACCACAGGTGTGTCATCTTGAGGTGGTTCACTAAGTGTAAGCAAATCAAAGCAGGGTTAAGTATGCAATACAGCTACATAATGAAAAAGAAAATTGTGTTGATGTCTAGTAAGAAATATGTTCTTACTTAAACAGAACCTACACTGTTACGTGTCAGTAACACAATGTGCTTCCTAATATACACATATCTATGGTATCTGAAAGCATATAACTAAAGCGTAATGACAGTACATTTCATAACTATGGTACCTGAAAACAAACATAACTAATACACATTGAAAGCACATCTCAAAACCCATTTTAATGACAATTAACAACATAAAGTGGTTTGTCATAATGATTTCTAAAGCAACTTCATACATTAAAAGCAAAAGAAAACAGACTTAGTACTATTTCATTTGCTCAGCACTCATCCTTTCTTTTTTTTTTTCTTAAACACCGATTTACAGTTATTACAACAAAGCCAACTTCTGAGTACACTGGCCGTATTAACACCACAACATTAAAGAGCCTGTGCAGCACATAATGCTGCATCACTGTCGGCATCAGTGGCATTGTCAGTGAAAAATCGGGCTTGTCTGCAAGTGAAAAGTCCTGACAAAGGTAAAGTGGGCTTGAGGCAGAGGCGAACACAGGCATCGTGCATAGCAGTCCAGCGTTCTACCACAAAGCCATTCCAGTGTTTGAAAATACTTTGGAAAGATACCCAATACAAGCATCCCATCAGAAGAAGACACGCATTAGCAAATTCAAAGAAAATAATGGGAAAAAAAAAAACAATGTAACCTCAACCAAAATAACATAACAGAGCCTGATGTTTCGGAACCAGGTGGATCGATCCCTTCTTTGGGGAGGGAGGGATGACGGCCATATTGTAGCCGCATCTCGTACACTTGCACAGCAGTCCTGACAGAACTAGACACCGTACAATGTTTATCTCTGAGTCATATGTAGTATTGTATGGCTGCAGCTTTTCGCAGAACTAATTTGTAATATTGCATGGCATAAGTGTAGAATCACAGAACACATGAAATCATGTTAATTGCATAATTAGTGAACGAGTCCACCAATTACAAAATACTCAATCATAATTAATCATTATCAACAGCAACAGCCCCAGCATATAGGAAGTGCAAAACTACATGCAGGGTTTGTTCGTAAGAAATTGGGACTAACTAATCCAATCAGAACATACCATTAAAACTCCTTAAAATAGTCTCTAATAAGCCTAATATTACAGGACCTAGCTTAAGAATACTTCTGAGTGTTCTCCATTCAATCTCAATTATCAGTCAATAATCTAATTATTTTGCAGCAGCGCCTTCACTTTTGATGCGCTAACTTGGTAAAGAGCACTAAAGAAGCACATAAGCTTTCTTTGAAGTAGCAACAACCTTTGCCCCATTGTGATACACTACATCTTTACAATGGGAAAAAAAGAAAAATGCCAGGCCTGCAGGGAACGCGAAGCACACTCACAGCGAAAGCTGGAAGAGCTGTCTTTCAGAGCCTTTTCTAAACACCCTTTGGGTGACTGCTACAAACGCACTTTCAGGGTACCCACTGCGCTATAAGTAATCATAATTTTCATGTAGTAAGCCAGCATTTACTATGCTATCCTTCGTCATTCTTCAGAGGAGCGTGGTATCCGCCATACACTTACAAGAAATTTTGTGCAAATTTTTTATGCAGTAGCTGACGATGACGAAAAATCATGCCTGAAGTGTGTATGCGCCACAGTTAATAGGTGTTCAAGAACAAGCTTTTGCAATAGGTTGGAGCATCTTACGACCCATTCGTTATGCAAATTGGCATTGTGTGGCATCTGATAGTTCATTTGCTGTTTTTTAAAACACTTCATAACTCATGCTAATGTGATTCCTCTCCCGACATTAAGCCTGCCTAAGGCAAGCTTGCAACAGAGTTTCAAGCACCAGCGTGGCTGTGCGGTAGAATACTGGGCTGGCATGCAGGAGACCCGAGTTCGAATCTCGCTGTGTCCTTGGTGTTTTATTTACTAAGTTATTTTCTTCTTTTGTGCGATAGTGGTTTCGGACACTGGCAGCAGCCATAAGAAAATTTAACTTTGAGCCTACACAGAACATGCTGAAAGGTCACAGCATAAGCTGGAGGAATGGCTCTCACAGAGCCTGTTGTGAACTCTCTCAGGACACCTACTGCAGATACAGTTAGGAAGTACCAATTACACAATAAATTTCACTTTGGTAAGTCGCAAAGCACCCATAATGCGTCTCAGACGTAATATGCCTACCTATGTAGGTGCGCACTTTGTTTTTGCAGCAACAGGTAAAAAATTACACTAAAATGCCATTATAACAAAGTTCATCTTACAGGAGCATAAATTTATTATATCTATTGCAAGACAATTTTTCATTTACTTCGTTATAACCAATATTTCATTATATCCGGTTTGTTATATCAAGGTTTGAGTGTATAACTTGTGGGGGTGTCAGCACCCCCTGTAGAGTTGTTCGCGATGCGTGGCGCATGTGTCTCGTGCAGAAGCCACATTTCAGGTTACAACTACTAAGAGGGAAGGTGGCGTTGTGCTCGTGAGCATTTATCGCCACCATCACCATCATGGTTAGAAAAATTCAGCACCAGCGGCGACGCCTGGCGGGAAGCCTTGGTGGCGGCGTGCAAGAAATAAGCTAGTCTCTTGTGGTGTGGGGCAGTAGCGTGGACAGTTGCCTCCTGCGGTGGGTCTGCTGTGGACGACACAGCATACCATCTACGGTGGGCCCACATGGTGAGTCAGGCGTTAGCAACACCGCCCTGTTTGTCATGTTGTTGAGTGTTGTTTAATATTGTGTAAGGACGTCTTAGCGTGTTGACCACGATTGATGTTATAATCATTCGGCCAACGATATCGTCGTTCTAAACGCCACCTACCACCTGGTAATTGTAATCTGAAACGGGGCTTCTGGGCGAGACACATGGGCCACGCGGCGCAAACAACTTTACAAGGAGTGTCAGCACCCCCAAAAATTGATTCGTTTTGTTGTAGCTGGCAAGCTTTAAACTACCCTCCAAATATGCAGTTCACATGCAATGGTGTGATGCCTAGTGTGATTCTGCTCTTTCACCATGCCATATTACGTCAGTCGACACCATTCTTCGCCATAAATTAAAGGGCCACTCACCAGGCCCCATACCAAATTTTAGTTAGACAGTGGAAGTTGCTGGGTGTCTGATGAGGAACAATTTGCCACAAAAATTTTTTGAATCGGTTCATCACGAGCAGAGAAAATGGGTTTTTTGAAGCGGCGTGAAACAAGGATGAGAGGAGGCGAGCTCGAAACCCTTGCTGCTCCTCCGCATAGCCTTCGCAAGTCAAATCTCTTCCCCACCCTCTCAGACATCCGACCAAGAGATAATGTGCGCATAACGTGCCCAAACAAGTCCAACGCCCGAGCACACGAGCGGCGTTGCTTTGTTGGCCAGCGTTATTTTGTGGTCTTCTGCCTGTTTCTGCGGGATGGTTTGGAAACGCTAGCTAAGACGCGGTAGAATAGATGAGCAGAATGAGTGCGCGAAGACGTAGAGAGTTCCACGGCGGTCGTCTGCTCGATGCACTGACCGCAGGTACACGAACGCATGCAAAACACTGACACATTAGCCCCGCATCTCGTTGCTAATTCATGGGAGAAAAATGGAAAAAAGACGCTCACATTCCGTTATTGCGTTTCATTATTTATCTAGAACATTATTATTCTCTTCAAGCAACAAATTACATAAACTACACATGCCGTGTTAAATAATTTTCGCCATGTCAGGTGCCACTGTTTACAATGTCAGAGCAGAGTCGTCTACGCAGAGGACTAACGTCACATTGCCGTGTACATAGGGCCGTTCATACACGCACGTCATGCCCTCATTCTTTGGGCGCGCGCCGGCAGAAGGGAGGGGGAGCAGCGTTCATCTTGAAATTTAACCCATTTATACGGCGCGTAGCATTGCAAATTTTGGCAGATGTGATCATGAACGCCTCGTCTACACATTGCGCTTGTCAGCTCAAAATTCTCAAACTTAGTGAGTGGCCCTTTAAGCCTTTTCTCCCCCCTCCTCCCTGTTGTGCACAATAGATACGATGGGCACCGAAAGCGATGTACTACACCACCTAATTCGGCTGTTGTCAGCTCAAAGCAGCACATGCTATAAAACATAATAAACTCAAACCTCATTCTTACAAAGTCACACCTGACACAAAAATACTTTGTTATACCCAAAAACTAGTTAAAAAATATATTTGAAGCACTGTACTATGACAGAGCTGTTCTTCATTTACTTCTTCATGACTGATGATTCATTATATCTGGGTTCGTTATATCGAGGTTTTACGTATATTTACGAGAGTAAGTTATGTCTGTACTGCCCTTTCTTTCTTCTAATCATGTTTAACATCACTATAGTAATGTTTTACTCGGCAAATGAAGCACTATAAAATGTAACAATAGCAATCAAACAAGTTAAAAAGTAGTACGCCACACTTAGTGCTTACTTAGCCAAAGAGCTCATCTCGGCACTGTTCTTAGCAATTACAAATTAATGGGAGATGATGGTGAAGTCAGACCACGCTGGGACTTTTGAAAAGCAAGCAGAGAACTGAAACACATGCATTAAAATGACCAAAGCACGATGCCAACCTGCTCGTAGAAGCTGGAGCCTTGGCTGACATGCTGACCGTCTTAGACTTCTTCTTTGGCGGCTTGCCACCAGAATTTACTGGACATAGGCCTGTAGGCCGAGCAGATGAAGGAGCAGAAACAGATGCACCTGGCGCAGCAGACAACGAAACTGCAGAAGGCAATGTGCACAACGATTCGCTGTCAGATGCAGGTGTCATGGGCAGTGCAGAGGGCTTCTTGAGCTTGATCTTCTTGTTTCTCGGGGCACCCTTCAACATCTTTGCCTTGCGTTTCGCTGCTGCAAGCATCCTTGCCCTGGTCTTGGTATTTAGAGGTCGCCCCACCTTCCTCTTTGTACCAGCTACAACAACTGCTTCAATAGCTTCTGCAATAGTATCAACTGGCAAGGATTCCTCTTGCATTTCTTCTGGTGCATCAACTGGTAGTGATTCCTGCAGTATTTCTAGTGGAGTATCGTCAATGTTTTCACCCTTTGTGGACTCTGCAAATAAAACATTCACTTCTTTTTTTTTTTTGCTGTAACATCACACAAGTTGCTGAAATTAATGTTCTCCTTCCAATCTCAATTATTAATGACCTCATTCCTATACCCAATGCACAACACCCAACACCATAAAGAACCCACATAGTCTTTTTTATTATTGTTTTACTACGACAGCAGCTAGAAGTGTAAACCTAGATTTGTTCTGCCTGTCCATACCTTACTTCAGTCACGTCAGCAATAATGGAAGCCATGATTATTTTCATCATGAAGGCACTTTCAGTTTCTCAGCTTCACCCTTGGCATACAACGGATGAACGTGAGACATTGCCAGTTGCTAACACTACATGCTCACATGGCATGGCATTTCGAGCCACGATTGAGTACCAGTAAATGTACAGTAGACTCTCGAGAAACAAAACCTGAAGAGATCAAGAAAATTTGTTCCATTTAACAGGAGTTACGTTTACTGAGAGATGGACAAGGGTGGAGAATTCAAGTATGAAACCAATTGTGAAAAGGCAGTTGTTCTATTTGAGCAGCAGTTCCATTTAACAGATTTTCTGTTTACTGAGAGTACTGTCTCTGCTCTGTGCAGTGACACATCAAACTGCAACAAAATACATGTGTGTGCATGTCTGCTTGCAAGTTCGTTCATGTGTTTGCATCTGTGCAGTTCATGTGTTTGCATCTGCATCTGTGCATCTGTGCATCTGTGCAGAGTGGCAACACTGGCATGTAGCTCTCATTCTACTGATCCTGCAGCCGCAACTGCCTCTTGAAGCTTCATCAATACATAGCAAAGGTGTATAGAGAGGTGCCATTACTACCGACCACATACATCTGGTTCTTAGCCAGAGAACTATGCAATACTCACACACTCCCAAACACCTAATTTTTAAGCACAATGACTGGTATGCATAACTGCTCGAGCTAACCATGCCATGCAGTAACGAATACAGTCTCTTAAGATAATGTTGACTTGGATCTAAGAATTCGAGTTGAATCACGCCGATACGACTTGAACTGATGACAGTGGGAATAAGAGCATTTGCATTAATTAACCCTGAATTGTTCATCTGTGAGTACTATACATTTACAAGAAAGCAAAATTTAAACATGCTCTACTGAGATGTCATTTTTAACAAAAAATGCCACAGTGCCTATTACCGTATTTATTCGAATCTAGGCCGATAGTTATTTTTCAAATTTATTTGTATCAAACTGTAGGGTCGGCTTAGATTCGAGGATTTTGAAAAACACACCATTTTTCATTGAGAAAAGTAGTGCACAAACAGTGCCACCTAGACGGTATTGTAACCATTAGTAGCCGAGCCAACACCTGGCTTAAAGTACACACCTGAAGCCGCCATGTTGATTGTTGCGGTAAGTGTTGAGGCGAGCGGTTAGTCATTTCAAGTCGCGCTTGGAGTCGCGCTTGGTCTGTGTGTGGCATACCTCAACGGCGCCAAACAGGTGGTGTCATTATAGTGCTGCTTATAAAAGGAAAGTTGTCCTAGCCGCGGAGTTATCGTCCAACATTCAAGCCGGGCAGGACTTTGAGTGGATGAAAAAAATGTGCATTGCTCGAGGGGCTGCAGCGTGGGACAACATCCCAAAAACATTTGATGGTGTGCCTGTTTAAGAAGTGCGACATATCTAATGCACTTGATGACCCCGAGGATTGCGCACTGTCTGAAGACAGCGACAACGACTCGGAATGAGCGCAGCATTGGCAAGCACGACACCGTTATGATACGAATAACAAGAAGCAGTGCGAAAAAAACGACAAAGAAACACACATAAGAGGACTAGCAGCTGTATGTTTCTTGAGTTGTTTGCATCATGAACCAACTGTTTTGTTTAATTTTCATGTTCAATAAATGTTTTCTCTTTGTGAACGTTGATGATGATTTTATATGTGGTGTTTAACATCCCAAAACCACCACATGAATTGTGAACGTTGCCTTCGCTGTTTCGTTCGGCCTATTTTTTCTTTCTTTTTTTTCAGGCCTCGGACTTATGGGTGTCGGCTTAGATTTGAGGTCGGCCTATGTTCGCCTGAACACAGTATTCTTACATGTTCATGATATTCAATGGTCTATGGTTTCATATTCAACACATTATTAGCTGTTACACATGAACATAGGCAGAGCATACAGACAATTGGGAAAAGTGCTAGCTCGTTTAAAACAAAAATTTGGCCATAGTTGAGGCAGTGATGTTCCACCAGGGCTCACTCATTCACTCACCAACAGGACAAAACTCTATGTACTTGCAGGAGTATAAACTTCAGGACAGAACATGCCAAGTATCGCTCAACATTAATAATTTGAGCGTGGTAATGCACCCCACATAATCTTCGAAATGGTGGCATTTGTGCATATACTTCAAAGGCTACAACAGATAGCTGTAGTGAAGAAAGACACTACGTACAAAAAAAGGCCATTCTACCAGAACATGGAAGCACCAAGTGTAAAAGCCTACTGCTCTCATAGTAGAAGAGTTCAACACAAGTAAAATTACTCAGACCTGCTAGAATGTAACCGTAACACTGAACCACTGAGTCTCCTCCCTTCCTATTTTTTTTTAAAGGCAAATCATAACATTCATTCTGGATCTGTAAGCCCACAAATGTGAAATAAAATCCACTTCCTGTAAGCTTCATTCCTGAATTTTTTTGTAATCCCATCATGAACATTTCCATTTCAAAGTAAGCTAGCTGTCCAATCAATGAGAGTCACGGCCAAAACACACAATTGCAATATGTGCCACTTACCCAAATCATTTGGCTTGGCACTTGCACAAGGCTTGCTCGAAGCTGGCCTCACCTGCTTCCTTTTTCTGGCTTTGCTAGATTTCAGAGCTCTCTTTCGTGGCCTTGCTTTTTTCGGCTGTGATGGAACTTCCTTTTTCACCTTCTCTTCCACATCTTCAGGGTTCTCTTGCTCAAGGTCCTGAGCCTTCAAATTAATAACTTTGACTTTCTTCTGCTGTGATGAACGTTCATATTTCACCCTTTCCTCTGCATCTTCAGAAATTTCTTGCTTGAAGTCTACAGCCTTCAAACTGACATCTTTAACTTTTTTTTGCTGCGCAGGACCTTCATTCTTCAAAGTTTTCTCCTTAACCTCAAAATTCTCTTGCTTGTGGTTTTCTACTGCTTGCAGGCTGATATTTTTAACTTTTTTCGGCTTCAGAGCACTTTCATTTTGCTTCTTAACCTCAGCATTTTCAGACCCTTCCGGCTCCTTGCTTTCTTCGGTTTCTATGTTTTTGTCACTCGCTTCGCAGTTGTCTTTAGCGGCATCCACTGTGGCTTCCGATTTTTTACCATCACTGAGAAGCTCATTTTTCACTGGTTTTACCGCTAATTTTCGCCTGAAAACTCTTTTCCTCCTATAACCTTTTGACCTTCTGGAGCTTCTTGGCTTGCTAGGACGCTTAGACAACTCTGTTTTGGACAATTCATCACTGACAGCTACTCGATCTACACCTGTTTTCTCATCATCTTTGCCTTCACTATTGGCTGTTTCTTTGCATAGTGGTTTGCTCCCACTATTGCTTTTGTCCTTGTTAGCACTTGCTTTCAGTTTACTGTCCACTCTTATCACTGGCGTGCTGTCCATATTTTTATTACTGTCTGATGTGGGATCTTTATTTTCTTCAAGTTTCTCATCTATTTCTGTATCACTGCTCATCTTGTCTTTGTCATCAGTAGTACACTCACTGGTCTTCCCAGGCTTGCCTTCGCCCTCAGAAGTTGTTTTGAACTCCTCCTGGCAGTCTGTTTCTCTTTCAACACTGGCATCAGCTTCAGCTTCAAGCAACGTTTCAGACTGTTGATGCCTTTCCGAAATATTTCCAGGCCTCTCACAATCTTCTGTGCCAGAGCTAACTGCTGCAAAAGTGTCAAGGGCCAGAAGTTTTTCCGTTGATGCTGACCCCTCGATTGCATCAGCAGCCCCGTCCACAGCCTCATCACAGGCAGATGTGGCAACAAGACTCTTTTTCGATGCGACCCTTCTTCGCTTGACCTTCACGAACCCAGTCCTGTTCCTCATCTTTCGTTTCCTATGCCTCTTATTGACCGCCAAATCATCTTCAACTGGCACATCCTTGCGAACACGTTCTTTCGATCGACGTGCCCGTTCAACAGCTTTTAGCAACTTCTGTTGCTTTTGCTTCAGAAGAGATATTTTTTTCAGAGGATTTTCAGGATCGCTATCGTCCTCAACAAACATCACCGCTTCATCATCATCACATCCATCTGCTTGTTGGGCAACTAAAGCAGATAGAGGAATGTCATCATCATCATCTAGATTAGAAGATGGCTGAGTCTCTGTGTTTTCCTCGGTTGGAAATTCAAGCTTGGGCTCCCGCAGGAACTGTAAATTGGACTGAGGCTGCACCTCCGAGTGAGACTCACATTGGGAGTCGAACAGAGGCTCGGAATCTGGCTGGGGATCGGTCTGCGATACAGTCTGCAGTTCGATCTGGGACCTAGTCTGGGATGCAGTGTCTGATTCAGTCTGGGATTCAGTCTTGGATGCCGTTTCGGATTGCACTTGGGACTGCGTCTGAGGATCAGGCTGTATATCTGGTTGAGATGCTGACTGTGGTTTAAGTAGGAGATCATCTTGGGATTCACAGTCTTGGGATTCAGGCAGTAAAACTGGTTCGCTTTCAGGTTCCACCCAATTGCTTGAATCACTCCTGTGACTCTGCTTGACAGGAGACTTCGATCTGGACCTTAATTTTTCATTCAGCTTGGCTGAATTAAGAGTCTCATTGAACTTCTGGATGCAGCTCTCGATAGTGTCATCAACAGGTGAACTAGTAGTGTTATTAGAATTACAAGACTTTTTCTTTCCAACTTGGTATGACTTCTGTTTTCTACATTTAGGTCCAGGTTTTCTCTTGAATCCTCTCATATCCTGTGGTAAAGGTTCTAATGAGACAATAGGGTACATGGCTTTTTTTGCTGCTTTAGTAAGGACAGGTATTTCACAGCGTGGCAAGCTGGGCATTGCTTCAGCTGGGCTACTGGCATTTTTCTTGCTTGCATCTGCAGTGCCAGTTACTACAAGGGCATGCTTACTTTGGCTCTTTTCCAATACATCCACACATTCTTTGCCTGCTTCTTGAGCCTTGTCTTCACTGAGTAGACAATGTCGCTTTTTGAGTGGAAGGCAACGGTCCCCAGAAGGTGGTGCCAATATATCTGGGGGTGACTCAGGCACTGCTGAAGAAGGCTGCGACTGCTTCTTTGCTTTTGCCTTCTTCCCAGGCATTGTCTTAGGTTCTTCTTTTTCTTGTTTTCGAACCTCAGCCTTACTTGCGTTGCTCATCTGTCGCAACGGCCTTTCAGAGGTGCGCTTGGGACGCAAGTACTTTACTGGCTTAAAAATTGCCGGTATGTCATCGATGTTGACAATGTGCAATGATGCTTGCTTTGAGATGAAAACAGAAGAAAGTGCCTCAACAAGGGCATCAACGGATTCAGAGGTCATTGTGGCTGCTAAGCGTGCAGACTTCCGCAAACTAGTACGACTATGTCGCAATGGCTGCTGCACAAAACGTTTCTTTTTCAGTTTTCGCTGGTACATGTGTAGTAAGTTAGTCTGCTCCTCAATGTTGCATTCTCGAAGTAACATATCCACATCAACAGAATCATCAACACCTTCCTTTTTTGCACTTGTCCTGTTCTTTCTTGTTTCAACTATATCAGAAGTTTTCATTGGTACATTTTCAATACAAGTCTTGGCTCTATCCACTGTATCTTCTTTCTTCACAGAGTTGCTTGGAAATGGCTTCAGATCTGACGTCTCGCTCCCAGTACTTGACTGCAATGAATCTAGGCCAGAATGCTTGTCTTCATGCCTGTCCCTCCGCTGCATGCCGCAACGTTGGCCTCTCCGCTTTTGCTGAACCCAACTTCCGTGTAGCGTTTGACTTTGGTCGCCCTCTTCTGCGAGCTGGCAATGGTTTTTCTATAGTCTTGCAAATATCAGTATCTGCGTTCCCAGAAGAAGCAGAGGCTTCGTTCTTGTCCTCTTGAGACAATAAAGTTGAACATGGCAAAGGGGCTGTTTTCATTTCACCGGGTTCCTCTAGAGCCATGTTAGGGTGTTTCTCAGCAACCTTTCTTTGGACTGAACTTTCTTCACTCTCTACTGTCATATCATAGTCACTTGAAGTGCCCATCATGTCCTGAAACTGCGTGCTGATTGAGTCGTGCACCTTTTGCACCAGTTGTTGAAGTTCACGGTCCCCAGACTCTGTCTTTCCACCATTTGGTGCAGCGGTCTTTAAGGTAGCACTCCGCAGTGGCCTTGTATTAACATTGGATGGGGGCCTCCCCATTCTAGATGGCCTCAGTACTCTCATTTGTGCTGGCAAACTCTTTGCAGCAGCTTGCTCCTCCCCATCTCGTTTCCTTCTTCTAAGCCGTGGTGGAGACACAGCGATTACTTCCTCTGTGGTTTTCTTTTCTTTGCTGCTGCTGACCCTCTTATAACGCTTCTGACTGCTCAAAGAACAAGACAGGACCGGAGGACACTGACTTTCTTCACTGCTTCTTTCCTTGTCATCGCCAGTACTAGTGTTATCACTTCGACTGCAGGCGGGAGCTTGTGGCTCCACAACCATGCAATCTAAACGAGGAGGTGTAAGCTGAGGGGGTGTAAGTTGGGGAGGTGGAGGTGTCGAATTCTTTATTACCTCTGCCTTTCTTCTGGCCTCCCCATCTGACGTTCGACAAGGAGAGATTCGCTCCAAAGGAGGTTTCTCTGATGGTGACTCGGAAAATCCATACCTTTGCACCTTACTCCCTAGAGGCACTGATTGCTGCAAATTTTCAGAGAAACTAAGAGCGTGTTCCAACGGTTCCTTCGGCAGCAAGTTTTCAGGTGTATCTGTAACAAGCAGATGTGAGGCATCACAAGGGCTTTTTGTAGTTTCCGTAGTGTTAGCAGTCAGAACGTCGAGTCTGCTTTCAGGCCCATGCTGCTTCGTGTCTTTCACTGTGCCCACATCAGGCAATTTTAAGCGCTCCAGGCGAGATACACTAGGTGGCCTTTCAGGAATGCTTGAAAGCACTGCATCACTGCATGCAGTGACAGCTGGCACCTCCTGCATTAGGTGTTTCTTGTCTGCTTCCTCGTCGTGGCTAATAACACGTGCTGGTGAATCTTCACGACAGCTACCCCGATGTGGCGAGTCGCCATGGCAACTCGCCCTCTGAGGGGATTCTCCACAAGACTGGATCCCGCTGTCAGGTGAAACATTTGCCGAAGCGTCCATGTTCAGATAAGGCAACGGCTGCCCCACAACTGTGCTGCAGTCACTTGCCATGGAGGCTGGCTTTTCTGCATTCCCCATCACATCAGAATTGACCGGTACTGCAGTGTTCAACTCTGCTTTTTTTGCACATGGCTGAAGTGGAGACGAGACACCGGTATCACTGCTCTGATAAGCATGATATCCACCGGATTTTAGAGGCGTACGGCACGTTGAATAATCTGACACACTGCATGAGCTTTCAGAGTCCGAAGAGCTCGAAGAACTGCTTGAGCTTGAACTTGACCCCGAGCTCGAACCAGAACCTGAACCAGAGTTTGAACCAGAGCTTGAGCTTGAGCCAGAGCTTGATGAGCCACTGCTTGATGAGCGGGAGCTGCTGCACGACCGCGATGTCTTGCGAGAAGAAGACGTGTAACTACACGTTGAAGGATCCTGATCCGCCACCTGCAAGCAAGCAATAGGAGTCTTACACAGCGATTTGAAAAAGGTAAATCCCACATGATGCAAGTAAATATAGCCCAGACAGTAATTCCATTCCCAGGGCACCTTAGTCAATGTCACGCAAAAATGCTGCATTATTAGAAACGACTTGGTTTAAATTTACAAACTGCCCTCTGAGATCTCTGATGTTATATGTCTCACTATCATAAGTTCATTATTAGCAGAGAAAATCAAGATTAAACTTTTATTTTTAAATTTCGCCACAAGATCAACCCACGTGACCTCAAAAATTTCAGAATGTATTTTTTGTATTTTGGCAACAGTGGCTCAATGAAATTGCCTGAAACTTCGTAATCTAGTCTATGGCACCCACAGATGACAATGTACATCATTTTTATCAATTAGAAGCTATATAAGACCCAGTAGACACCTTCAAAATCTGTGATGTCATGGTGTATGGTGCGGGAATTTTCAGGTGGCATTTTCATTCGCATTTTCTTTTTGTGCATTTTCTCGTTTACAAAGTGTCGTGTCGCAGAAAGAGTGGTGCCTTTGGGATTGTGAAATTGTACTTTACTAATACGCAAAAAGATTGTTGAAATCTTTAGTGTCCCTTTAAAGCATGCAGTTTGCCATTCAGCAGATCTTGTCACTATTTTTTGTTACATTTTGGCTAATTATATAATTAAATTATAAATAAACACACAAGAAAACTCTTAACAAGAAATCTCTACGGCACAATGAAAAAAACGTCCTATTTAGAGTGCCTGATTGTTGCACATATCGCACAACAGTAACTGAATAAGCGACATCATAGGAGTCTTAGTTTCAACAAACACCTGCATTTGTCAAGGAAACTGCTTTTCTTGACAGTGCCTACAAAATGTGTTTATAAAGGTCTCACCATGAATTTCAGAAACGTGTCCATGACATCAATGAAACTAAGCACAGGTTTTAGCAGTATATAAATGTGTTACCCAAAATCATAACACAGAACCTGCTAGGTTACCAAAGCAAAAGTAGTAGTGTCCATAAGGAAAACTGAAACACAATGATGTTACGATGACTACAAACATATTTAAAGTTTTTGATCTATACAACAAACAGTACTGGGATGCAGTTCTCCACGTGTCCACCTTTTGGACTGTCCGCTTTCTAGTGATTGGCTGGAGCTTGGCAAGAAGCACACCCGCTGTTTTCGGTCCTTCTTCCACAACATCATTTTAAAGTCACAAAGCTTTCACAACTCTCACTGCAAATGAGAGGGACGAAATGTGCTTCATTGCAACTAATGCTGCCTCCAGAGATTCACTTCTGAATGCACATCTCGAAGCGTGGCTGCCCGCCTAACGTACCTGGCAGGTCGGTATGCATTCCCTGCACCATTCTCAAACACCTGAACTCATTCATCAAAAGTCCAAACTTGTCAAGTTTATTCAGGTGTTCTGTTCTTGCACATTTCGTTCACTTTCTTTCTCTTCACACTGGGAATGTGCTAGCGGGTTCAGTGCATCGATGTGGTCAAGAGCGCCATAATGTCAGGGCTTGCCGCTTTTTTGAGTGACTGAATCAACTCCACCGAAGTGGACACGTCCACAAGGCAGACACATCAAGAATAGCTCCCTTGCATACAAGTCCCTCATTGCTCACCTTTCCTTTCCTCTTCTCCATGCAAGAACAGCGCGGCTGGCGCAGCCCTCCTGCATCCGTAGGGCTCCGTGAACGTCTCCGTCTCCGGCTCTTGTGCTGCTTTATACGAAGCCGCACTGCAGCTGAGCCATTAGCCGAGCCACTGCTCGCACCAGCTGCCGACGTCATGCAGGCAGAGTCTTCGGCTTTTGACACACGTCGAGCAGCAATCCGAAGTTTGAGTGGGTCATGCGTCTGCTCGGGCTGGCGTACAATGGCAAACTCGCAGTTAGCTGGAAGGGAGCTTTCTTCATCTGAGCAGCTAGCTGATGAGCATGAGCTGGAGGACGAGGAGGAACACGAGGATGATGATGAGGATGATGACGAACACGACGATGCATCACTGCTCGCCTCGCTGCTCACGCTACTGTTGCTTCGAGCCCTCCTGCGATGCTGCAATCAGTTGAACAACATGTGTTATTGCAGTTTATAACAAAAATGGACCCCAAACACAATAGGTGTATTCTGTGCCATACTGACAGCTAGTTATAAAACAGCATTTCGTGGAGCTTGATAGTCAAGTTCATTAATCATGAATGTTAGACACTTAGTATTCTTTCTTTATAGTTGCATTTTGCTGTGCTCCTATGGGCAAAACCTTGTTTTGCCACATGATATTTTCACTGTTTGCCTCAATCTGTGCTTATTGTCTCTGTTTATGAAAGCAGTTCTCCCCAGTGGCACAAGGCAGCTGCTGTTGTTTCCAAATTGCACATAGACAAATGACTGGGAGTACAAAAATTGGCAAAAGCTTCAGAAAACAACTAATTATTACGATACAAATTCTTTGAATGTGGACGTTAGGCAGGGTTGGAGGGAGACGAGGAGGAAGAGGAGGTTTGAAATAAAGAAGATGGCTGACACGCCAGCCTAGTACTGTGTATTATTACAAATTGGCGCAGCCGCGTATACTTTCTGTGCGGACATTCAAGATGTGGGTGGACTTCACCATTGGAGCAAATGAACGCGGTGGCATCCGGATCTTGACCGCAACGCCTCAAGACGAAGAGGAACTAGCACTTCTGGAAGCAGTGAGCACTAACGCATTTGTTTCCTATATAAGCACTAAAATGAAGCTCACTCCAGACCATTTACTTGCTAAAAGAACGGTGAGGATCAACATGAAACTCCAGGACCTAGGAACCCAGCGTCAACCCATGACACCTGCTGCAAGGAATACCGGGGCCACACGAGCTGAGGAACGACGCCCGCTTGCACGCTGGAGACCTACTGCAACATCCGTATCCTTTTTGACCGCCCAGGGAGGCTCAGACCATGGCGAAGAGCTAGATGACATAACAAATAACTAAATAGAGAGGGTCTCGGCTTCCACCCGACGACATCAAGAGAAGCTGTTTATTTGTCTCATACAAGTCTATTATACATATCTGTTTTTGTGGATGGAAAGAAACGGAGTGCGTTAGTTGACAGCAGAGCAAGCGTCATGGTTATTAACGCAAATATTGTTGAGAGGGTGAAAGTAAAAGAGGGAAGACCAGTAGAAGTACACGGATACGATAAAAGACGAGATGTTCACGATAAATGGACTTGTATAACCATATCGTGTCTCGGCAACACTGTCACTGCGCAAGCACTGGTACTCGACGGAGTTCCGTATGAACTACTGCTTTCACG